AGTCGCCAGTCACTTGAAACAAATTGAATTCCCATTTGATGAAGAAATCCGGGAATATTGTTGCAATAAACAAGATCCTTATCTTGACTGAAGTACGGAACAATTTTAACCTCTCGTGTTCTATAAATTGTTATTTTTATATCTGGCTGTAGGCAGTTTTTTCTTTTAACCTGGATTCTAGAAGTTCAGATGACTGCTTTGATAGACCGAGGTCCCGTATCAGGTCATTCAGTTCTTCTTGGGAGAACTGCTGGGGTGTTGATTGTATTCCCTCACATTTACTTTCACTACTGTTACTGTACTGGTCCTCAATTTCTTCTACTTCTGACATCGAAACATCTGGCGATGTGGTACATACTGGTACGGGAATCTCTTCGTTATGTGGCACAGGTCTTCGTGCTAATTCTAAATTTGCCTTTATTATATCTGTTAAAACCTTTCACATTAACTAAACAAAAATATAAATCGTCGTTGTGGTTTTTGGGTTCTCTCCGCACCATGGGCACTCCAAATTTTAAACTTTTTCTCTTTTGGTTTGTCCATTGTCGTAAAGATTCGATACATGTTTTGCATACTATATGGGGAGCCCAGGACTTGTCTTGATCTCCAAACACTACGCCGAAATAACCTTGATAAGCTTGCCTAACAAAATATATATATGTATATTCACCACAAATGTAGCAGATGACATTGGGGTTATTCAAGCAGCTTCTTCGTGAAGAACTCATTCCTCTGAAAAACAAGCGTAACTATGTTTTTATTAAAATATATACAAATATGCGTCACATTTCGTGTATACTTGACGTCTTTTAAATTTAAATAACTTCACTAGGTAGGTAATACGAAATAAATACACAAAATAGGTAAGAGAAGCACATTAACCACGACGTTAAGCTTACGCTGAACTGACACTTACAATTAAATTTAAAATTAAGAGACAAGAGATAAACAATTGCACGCATTGATCACGTGGTCAACAGTAAGCAAGTGACTAGACAGGGTCGAACTCTCATTTCTGCGCAAAATGTGTTATTTGCCAATTCTTAAAAAAAAAACATCTGTTATGGCTAAATATCTTAAAAAATGATGGTATCCGCTATCTCAAAAACAAGAACCAATTTGGAAAAACTGCTTTTATTTTTTAATTCAGCAGACCCGAATTACCCTAAATTCGTTAAAAAATACTTGGTAACAAATTTTCTTTGAAATTTTGTAACCATCCAAAATAAAATCTTTGAAAAATGTATACATAATTAAATATTTCTTAAAAATGAATTCCTTTTTCAATAATGTACTGAAATTACATTTTTTCACATAATAGGTATATTTGGATACGCCACCTCATCTTATTAAGAATACAACATATTTGTTTAAATTTATATAGTACACAACGCAGTTTTTTTAAGATATATTCTGCTTAAGTCTATAGTCTATTTTTATGTATGAGAGGGTATTAAAATAATAAAGCGTTCGTAATCCATAGGCGTAACACTTCTTTTAGTAGACAGTTAAAATATTTTTTGAAGTTATTCCTCGAGTATACACTTATATTTTCACCTAATTAACCTGCTTATAACTAAACAGCTCAAGGTAAAAAAGTGCAATTTTTTCTAAAATGTTTTATTTTTCCACAAGGTATGTTAAGAACATTGTGTCAAACGGGTTATGTAGGTATAAGGGTTTAAACTTTGACTTTCAAACAACGTTACGTTCATAAATAATAATTTTAATATAAAAAATACTTCTTACCTACAAATTCAAATCAGAATCGAAATCAGAAGATGAACTGTCGCAATCAATATTAACACTGAGTGGCTCGATCATTTCATCAGTAATATTGTCCAACTTCCACATTGTCTCTTATTCTTTAATCGTATGATTTACTGCCTTTTCCCAGTTTTCAGGCTTCACATTATTTACAGCCTCCAAAAACAACTGTTTAACATCACTCATTTTAAAAGAATTATTTTTTCTTGAAACTTCTCCCTTTATCTGTGCCCATATCAGTTCAATCGGGTTTACTTGGCAATGATATGGTGGTGATCTAACCACCGTCATCCCACGATTTTTTGCAATTTCATCAATTTCATATTTTTTGAATTTCTCTTTATGAAGGGAACACAAATAATACAGTTCTTTTCCCAAAGAACCGGGATGGAACTTAATATTTCAGTTTCATCTTGCCAAAATTTATTTGGTTTATGTCCCTCGTTGATCCATGTTTCATCTAAATAAAATATATTTCTTCTTTGGTTTCTCATTTCTTTTATAGTCCTTAGGTAATTTTTTCTCCACACTACAATATCGCTTCTTTCTATTAAAATAGACTTTCTGGAATGCTTTTTCCATAGAAAACTTATTTCTTTTAAAAGTTTCCATAGTGTGCTTCGACTCATTTCAGAGTAATCCTTATCATCTCGAACCGTGGCAAGAACTTTGTCTACTGTCGGAAATTCTTTTCTAAAGAAGAACGCATGCACTTTCTTTCGAAGTCTTTCTTTCAAAAGATTTTCTAATTGAAATTTTGGTTTTCCTGGAGCTTTACGTGCTGTTTGAAACTCGCCACATTTCTCTTCTTTAACAACTTTGTAAATCGTAGATTTCCCAACACCAAGCGTACCACTAACTAATTCCACTGTGTCATCAACACTTTTACATAAATGTTTGTCTGTAAATGATTTAAAACAATTAAATATTAATGTTTTTTCATTAACTGTTAAAGGACCGATTTTTTGTCGTTTACGCGGCCCTTCCAAATTTTCCATGATCACACTAGAATTCACACTACACCTTGCAAGTTGCAACTAAACGACATTTAGTAAACTGTCAAGAATACACAACTTGGACCTCTTTACTAAATGGAAAACCTGTAATCGCATTTTAGGTGAAATTTGTTGGGAAGGTATTTATCTACTTATAATTCGATTACTGTAAGAAATTCTTGGAATTAAAATAAAACAAAATTGGCAAATAGGTACTTATTGAAAATAATCTTAAGACACGGCTATGTTATCTTTAACACACAGGGCTTTTGGCCTGTCCAAACCTTTTTCTATTGTTCTGTACAGCTTATGTTTATAAAGGACCAATAAAAGACCCAAAACTTGTAATAGCTCAGGTACATTTATTACAATTTTAGGAAATATTTAGATTATTCTGTAAAAATATTTAAAATGACCGTACTAAGTTTTGCATTAGAAATGCTGTTTTATTACTCTCTCATACATAAAAATAGACTATAATATAATTCCAAGGTATTTTATTTTTCTTACAGATGTAATGGTAAACGTATTTCCAACAATAATATTATAATCTGAAAGAGCGTTACTATAAGAACTAAATGGTATGTAATTTGTTTTTTTTTTTAAGTTTAATGAGAAGAGTCTATGATCAAACCACATCTTTATTTTTTCTGTCTTGTTCTAATTTTATCTACCGTATCATCAGCAAAACTAATTATTTTGCAATTTGTCTCTACCAGGAATAGATTATATAAATATTAAAAAGAATAGGCCCTAACCCAGTCCTTTGTGGTATTCCATAAGTAATAGTTTTTTCTTGGCTCAACATGTCACCTATTTTTACTTTTTGTTTTATATTTCCCAAGTTACTTTTTAAAAGTTCATGTGGAATACCCCTTATACCCATATCATATAATATGTTAAGAAGGATGTTATGATCAATGGTATCAAAAGCCTTTGCTGAATCTATGAATAGACCAATAGATGGCATAGATGGCTATAGGATTTGATGGATGCCAAATTTATTTTCTGTTGATATGACATCCAGATTATTAAAATAAAACCACCATGCGTTACTGTTTTCGATGATGGTGGGAGGGGTTTTCCTCACCTGTAAGTCAAATGGCACCATCAATCATCTTTAAGTCGCCCCGAAGCGCCACGGCAAATAATAATATCCGTCGTTTTCCCCGCACAAGCTCAGCTGTGGGGGTTAAAATTCACTCGTAAGGGGGTGAATTAGGGAGAGTATTATTATATTATTATATATTCTCAATTAATACTTTAATGGCATCTTGGGTAGACATGTTTGGACTAAATCCGAATTGTGCTGCTGAAAGTAATTTGTGTTTATCTAAGAAATAGTTTAATCTAGTCTGGATTACTTTTTCGAATATTTTAGCTAGGCTGCTAATTAATTAATTAATTAAATACGTTTTTTCTCCCTGTTTGTAGATTAGAAACACTGTTGCGAGTTTTAAAACAGATGGAAGGTGACCTTTTTGTATTGATTTATTAATTAAGTGTGAAATAGGTTTCCAATATAGTCATTGATTATTTTTAGTGTTCCTGCTTTTAGACCGTCCCAACTTGGAGCTTTATTATTTTTTAATTTCATTATGGTTTCTTTTATTTCATTTTAATCGCATGGACGAAGGAAAATGGATTGATTTCACGTAGTTTAAATTAGTGTTAATTTTTTAGCTAAGTTTTTACCTACAGATATGAAATATTCATTTAAAGTCTCGGCTATTTCGGAAGGTTCAGTTATAAGTTTGTCTTTATTTTCTTTAATTAAATTTATTGAAGTTCTTTCTGGTATTGCTGGGAATTCATTAATGGTATTCTACAAATTTTTTGGATTCCTATCGTTTGAATACGGCTTCGGTAGTAATTTATTATTATTTGCTTAAGGTTTTTTTATAATCTAGGTACTCTTGTTTTAGATTTTCATAGTGTGGACATTTTCTATATTGACAAAACATTTTATTTTTGTTGTTTATTGAATCGCTATCCAACATTTGCGTTTTCTATTATCACTTTTGATTCTTTTATATATTGTAGATATATCTACACATTTTTTAACTATACTAATGCATTTTATTGTTTCAGATTCCACATCGTCGCCATCAAAAACGAAATCCCAGTAATATTCATCATTTCATTTTCAGTCTTTGTTCATTAAATATTTTTATTATGTTATTATTAGATACCTTGTTTTGTTTTAGATGTGTTGGAATTATAATCTGTGCTAATGTTGAATAGTGATCTGTTATATTTGTTTCTAGAGTTAATGTCAATTATGACTTTTATTTTTGATAAAAATGTGATCCAAACAAATTAATAGCTGAAACATAACCAAATTCACTCATTGTATCAAGGTAAGTATTCGAGTCTTGAGTATTTGATATCTATGTTTATGTCGCCTCATAGTCATAGATCAATACACTAAAATTTTTTAATGACAATTTAGCTAATAACTTTTCTATAAAATTTCTTAATATTATAATGTACATTATATGAATCGTTTACGAATACCGCTTGTACTAAATTGAGGCTGTAACCCAATTAGATAATCATAGCTTATGATCTCCTACTATTATAATGATATAAAATAACTAACAATTTGTTTGCCGTGTTATTCTTAAAAATGGAGTTCTTTTTTCTGTATCCTATATTATTAATATTTTTCAATGTCGCAAGCTGTGCGAAAATTTTAGGTATATTTCCTAGTCCTGGATATAGCCAGTTTATTTTGGCGGAAAAACTTATGGGAGAATTGGCCAAAAGGGGACATGCAGTGTCTGTAATAAGCGAATATGAACCAAAAGAGGAAATTAAAAACTATGAGACAATCAGATTGACAAAGTCTGTTCCATACGATGGGCATTGTAAGTATCGACTTAATTAGTTACGTGTTATTGACACGTTGATGGAATTAAAATTTTGAAATCCTATTGACCTATTTTTACTTTCCGATCTCGAGTTTTCGACGGATTTTTACGTTTTGAGGTCCCCTGAATCCGTTTTAACTATTTTCGCGATGATGTGTGTGGTGTGTGTGTGTGTGTGTGTGTGTGTGTGTGTGTGTGTGTGTCTGTCTGTCTGTCTGTCTGTCTGTCTGTCTGTCTGTCTGTCTGTCTGTCTGTCTGTCTGTCTGTCTGTCTGTCTGTCTGTCTGTCTGTCTGTCTGTCTGTCTGTCTGTCTGTCTGTCTGTCTGTCTGTCTGTCTGTCTGTCTGTCTGTCTGTCTGTCTGTCTGTCTGTCTGTCTGTCTGTCTGTCTGTCTGTCTGTCTGTCTGTCTGTCTGTCTGTCTTGTCTGTCTGTCTGTCTGTCTGTCTGTCTGTCTGTCTGTCTGTCTGTCTGTCTGTCTGTCTGTCTGTCTGTCTGTCTGTCTGTCTGTCTGTCTGTCTGTCTGTCTGTCTGTCTGTCTGTCTGTCTGTCTGTCTGTCTGTCTGTCTGTCTGTCTGTCTGTCTGTCTGTCTGTCTGTCTGTCTGTCTGTCTGTCTGTCTGTCTGTCTGTCTGTCTGTCTGTCTGTCTGTCTGTCTGTCTGTCTGTCTGTCTGTCTGTCTGTCTGTCTGTCTGTCTGTCTGTCTGTCTGTCTGTCTGTCTGTATCCACCATAACTCATGAACCGATACACAGAAAACCACCAAATTTTAAACTTCAGCTTTATTCTAGCGTCCGAAAAAGCAAATAAAACAATAAAATAATAAAAAAAATTGAAAACAGGTTGAACCTCTCACTTCGATGTTAACTGGGCGGTTTTTAAGAGAAATTGGATATAGTCGTTGACAATGAGAGCACTCAGAGTCTAGCCTATGTCCAGCCTCAAATAAAAATTGCCAACGGTTTCCTACATTTCTATGTTTCCCACTGAGGGATGAAATGAAATATCCTGGATATGAATCAAAATTTTTCACTTGTCGCACGGGTGTCCCAACTAATTATATAAAAGTCAATATAAAAAAAATAACATACGGTTCCTACTTTAGAAGATAAACGGGGTTATTCAATGATCTTTTTCGAAATCACGGCACTCACGGAATATTTACTAGGCACTATAGAAGGGCGAATAGTTATCGACTGTCGGCAATCAAGAGAGTGTAATCCGAGAATACCGATCAAGGAGAAGCGACAGCTTGGTGTTTTCAGTGTACCGTTTTGTAACGCGCATGTGTGAAAATAAGTTGTGTATCACTCAAAATTATGTTATCTGTCAAAGTCAGTCCAAGTTGTGTTTAGAAAGTGAGCAATGTTAAGTGATATTTTTTGGTGTTTGTTTTGTGTAGTAATAAGATGAAGATTTTTACACACTTAGGTATTCTATTACAGATATAAAATGTGCCAAAAAAAGTTATTACGAGAATTTTATCACATGCATAAATATTAAGTATAATGATTTAATCATTTTTGACATTTTATTTTTCATATGTAGGTATTGTTTTTTGTGAAATAAATTTAATAAACAATGAACTGCAGATTTTGTTTATTTTATTTTAAAATTATATTTAAAAAAATATAATAAATCCGCGTGTTTCAATTAGGATTGGTCAAAGTGGGCGATATCCAGAGAACGTCTGTTTTTGGACTTAATTTTAAGTTTAGTAGTATTTTGACGTCCAGTGGACGTCCATCTTAGGTAATTATTTATTAAGCCTACCAGATAATACCCATCTATATATACTTCTTTTTTTTAACATAACTATTAACATTAAAAATTGACAAATTGTATCTATTGCATTTTATTCTATCAGCGGAAGTTTGAAATCTTATTCAATTATAACTGTATCTAGTAAAAAGTTTTCAAGTGGTTCCTTGGTCGAGCTCGTCTGGCGCTTAAAAGCGTAAAACGATAATTGATGTGTCGTGAGTTCGATTCCTCCTCAGGTCAAGCGATTTTTATTAAAAAAAAAAAATGGTGTATAGCGGTTTGCGAAAATAATAAACAAATTATTAATAATATAAAATAGTGTGTGGTGAGTTGCAGTTCTGTAAAAAAAGTGGGGATGTGGTCTCAATGGAAATATAATCCTGGACGTTTTTTGAATGTCCAGTATTCGACGTCCAAATATATTCCAGAATTGGACGTCATCTGAATGGTCAAACGTGTGCCATTTGTATACTTCACTGGACGTCCATTGGATGTCGGAAGTCCATAAAAAACTCATTTTTGGACGTATAGACATCCAAAATTGTATATCGAATGGACGTCCAATGGATATATTTGTATTGTCTGGGTGATAGCCAGGCCAGGTAATTAACTCTAAATACATAAACCTTAAATGACATCTGGCTTAACTTGGCGAGAAAACACTTGTTTCTACAGAAATGAGTAATACACTTGAAAGTCCTTTTAATATAATATAAATCTAGAAATTCTAAAAATATGTAAGTACTTTTTAAACCTAAAAGCTTTGAAAATATATGCACATTGTAAATATTTAGTTAAACCTCTCAAACTTAAAGTCTTTTTAATTGTTACCTAAATTTTTTTGGCACCCTCAATTTTATTTACCTTATTTTTACTTAAGGAAAAGGTAATTTAAATTAAATATGGGGCTTTTATTACATTTTTAACAATAAATAAACCAAATATTGAACAAATTTTATAGATAAATTATAAAATAATAAATGTCTTTTACTTTTATAACAAATAATTAATTATTACATAATGAATTATACTTTGGTGCCGAAATTTCACCATTGCTATTAACCCTAACTACTTCAATGTAATTAAATCACATTACAACATTTGCGCATGGACTATAACAATAATTTCAGATAATTTGCCAAACTATTTCGCTCAGTGTAGAAAATAAGCATGTTTTCTCAGCGTGCTAAGTTGTGTATTAATCAAAGTCATGCTGTGAAAAAGGTACATCCGATATCAAAGGCACCGACACCTACTGTCGCTTCTCCTTGATCGGTATTCTCGGGTGTAATTCCCAGATGTCATTGAATTTATGCTTTTCGGTAAACCTGAGTGGGAGGATACCACTACTACAGCCGACTGTTTACAATTTAAAAATAAAAAAATGTCCATCTAGTACCTTGACAAATAAAGGTAGATAATTGGTACGAAATCGACTCTACAAAATGCCCTTTCGGATTTCGGCAAATATAGGAATATTTTAACCTACGAGGGTACTCGCAATTGTTGAAAAACGGTAATTCCTGAAAAACAGAAATACAGGGGAACTTCTCTACATGTCCTCAGGCGGGAATTAATTGAAATATACATTTTTAAATTACTTGAGAGCAAAATTTAGTGACTTCGTCACAATATATTCCATAAAATATAAAAATGACCACCTATAAAGTACTCCCCCAGATGTTCCAACTCTGCCCAAAATCTAATCTATTCACTGGAGGCCGGAATAAAGCTTAAGTTTAAAATTTGGTGTTTTTCTTTATATCTGTTCATGAGTTATCGTGGATACACGCACGCACGCACGCACGCACGCACACACACACACGCACACACACACACACGCACACGCACACGCACACGCACACGCACACGCACACGCACACGCACACGCACACGCACACGCACACGCACACGCACTCGCACTCGCACGCACACCCACACGCCCACATGCACATGCACACACACACACCATCGCGAAAATAGTCAAAACGGATTCCGTGGACCCAAAACGTAAAAAACCGTCGAAAACTCGAGGTCGAAAAAAGGATGATTCCTATACTTTATAGGTAAGTAAAAAGGTTATTTTTATTAGTCCCAATAAGTCACAACTAAAAATATCATTTCATCCCCCTCCCCTGTCGTCGTTGTCATGTTTTTCCTTCTCGAAAATCTGGCAACCCTAATTACCACAGATAATAAATGATTTCAAGTTTTCTAACGGGTTCATTGTATTTAAAAAAAAAATCTCATCCCTAATGTCTATATTTCTCCTTTTTAGACGATTTAATACATTGGCCAGAACAAAATTTATTTGTCTTGAATAAATACATGCTAGATACGGGCGTCGTATATGCAGAAGCCATATTACAACAAAAAATTATTCAAGAATTGATCAATTCCAATCGCACATTCGATTTGGTCATTGTAGAAAGTTTTTTCAACGAAGCTCATACGGCGTTTGCCGAACATTTCAAAGCTCCTCTAATTTGTTTTACTTCGCAGCCTTTGATGGAGTGGAATTATCACTTAGTGGGAAATGTTAAATTACCTTCTATGAGTCCTCTTTTTGCAACGCCGTTTGAAAAGCATATGACCTTTTTTGAAAGACTGCAGAACTCTTTATTAAGTATTCATGATTGTGTCTACAAAGAATTGAGATATTATCCAGATCAACAAGCTCTTGTGGACAAATATTTTCCCAATAAAATAGATCTTAAAAAAGTATATACAAATACCGAAATGCTGTTACTCTTTTCACATCCTTTAACAACAGGACCTTCTTTAACGACAAGTGCTGTAGTAGAAGTGGGAGGTTTTCAAATTGTTTCTAAAAAGCTCCCCAACGACATACAAAATATCTTAGATGGTGCCACAAATGGTAGTATACTTGTCAGTTTGGGAACAAATGTAGAATGCAGGACTTTGTCAAAGGAGAAACTCAGTATGTTTTTGAACACTTTCCGAAAATTTCCCCAAAGATTTTTGTGGAAGTGTCCAATTGAAATACCTAATAAACCCGATAATGTATATTTGTTTAAATGGTTGCCACAAACAGATATTCTTGGTAAGTTAAAGATACTATCAATTTCTTTATATCATAATAAATAAATAAAGTTTATTGAGCAACTATAAATACATAAGTGTCTCAAAAGGAATGAATTCGGCTAAGCCGTTTTTCAATTCATCCTCATTATAATAGCAAAAAAAAATGTTTACAAAATAATTATTTTAAATTAAATCATAATCTAAACTGTTTATTAGAACAATGGGTAGTTTTTAAAAGTACATTAAATGAGCAAACTTTTCAAATCACTAGCCAGGTTAGTGTAGACCTTTTTTTGTACAGTATTAGGTGTTAAACTTGAGTGATGGAAAATAAAAATAAATTATTTCTCTGTAAAATAAGATTTCTTATTGAATATTTTGAACTTTTGTTTCAATATTCAATAAATAAACCACAATTGTTCAATATCATCATTGATGACATCACACTGAATTTATAGATGGACTTTACAGACATAGCTACTCCTCCCCCGAACGTTGGACGATCTTATTTAATGAAATTATATTTATCGAGACTTAAATATTTATCTGGATAATACGTATCAAAAAATGTTTCAGAAACTCCTGCAAAATCAATGTCATTTTCAAAAATATATTCCTTCAAACTTACAATTTTTTTTCTTATTGATCGGATATTAACATGACATAATTTTACATTTAATTTTTTGATTTTTCTATTGACATACTTAATAAATAAATCATTTTTTCCCTTCTGCTTCCTTTGTTCCAGTTCATCACGTATCTTTTTTTAGTACTCCTGTTGAGCTTTTGTATTATCTGTAGCCATGACAACATTGATATTGAAATTTTTTAAATTCTTTTTATTTTTTTAAAATAGTATAAACTTCTTCTTTAAAGAGTTACTTTAAGAGTTGCAGGACGATTTCGCGTAGATTTATTCATATCATAACATTTATGTCACTGACATTAATAGTGGGCAAAATCTTTTGAAGGATCTTCTTAGCTTTGGCACGATCATCAGCATTTTCATAAAATTTGTAAATAATTATGTTCGTTTCTCTCTTGTTTCGTTCATTTACTTCATTAATTACTTCTTAATTCTCTTTGTACGTTAATTATTGCCTGTCCTTATATTTACGAATAAATGTTGAAGGAGGATTAGAATTCCTAATAAAGAAGCAAACTACTATTGAAGCTACCCTTTAGACTTCAATACAAGGCCACCACATTCGATTACGGGCGCTGGATCTACGATCAGATATGTTCCCCACTTATTTAACAACTTGCTTCATTATAAATGTTTTTTATTAAACATTTTTTCGATATTTGTTTCAATTCTTTTGTAACCTTTCTTATTACATATAGCAATCGTTTCAATTTACCCACTTCCAGTTAGTACATTATTATGGTTAAGTTTGCTAATAATTTTTTATTTTATCTGTTCAATTTCTTTTGTAATAAACATATATTTCTTTTAGCTCATAACAACACAATCGCATTTGTTACACACAGCGGTTTATTAAGTACAACCGAAGCAATTCATTATGGAGTACCGATGATTTCAATTCCTGTTTTTGGAGATCAACTCATAAACTCATTGAGAGTAAAGAGGAGCGGCATCGCCGAACGGCTGCCTTTCTTAGATTTAACCGAAAATGGCTTATATGAAGCAATAAGGAAGGTCACCACCAATCCGAAGTAAGTATTTTGTTTCTTTTCTGGATATATAAATCGTATTTACTAGTAAAGTAGAACTTAAAAATGTATTTCTATCTTGCTGAGAGGTCTAATATGCTGAAATACAAATGTAGCGCACAGCAGAAATATGTAAAAAATTATTGCTAATTACTGATAATTTATTACTTGCTTATCTATTGCCTATTTATTGCTTATTTATTGCTTATTTATTGCTTATTTATTGTTTATTTATTGTTTATTTATTGTTTATTTATTGCTTCTTTCCAATCTATTGCTAATTTATAGCTAATATGTAACTAATTCATAGCTAGTTTATAGCTAATTTATACCCAATTTATTGCCCCATTAATGCTAATTATTGTTTAATTATTGCCTATTTATTGCTAATTTATTATGAAATTGTTGCTAAATGATCTATTTATAATTTATTGGTACTTTATCGGTAATGTATTGCGAATTTATTACTAATTAATTGCTATATTATCGCTAATTTATAGCTAACTCATAGCTTCCTTCATTTTCAGATACACAGAACAGATGGAAAGAGTTTCAAAAATGTTTAGAGACCAACCATCTACGCCGTTAGATCGGGCAATGCATACTGTCGAATATGTCCTTAAATATAAGCCAGGATCATTGATAAGAAGCCCCGCTTCAGACTTATGGTGGTTCCAAATATATATTCTTGACGTTTTATTATTTACTTTTGTATCCATTGTCTTGTTCTCTCTATTTATATTATTAGCTTTAAGAAAATTGATTTTCAGCTTGAAACAAAATAAAAGAAAAATTGATTAAATACTGTTTTTATAAATGATTGGAGAGTTTTAGCTAACGTTACTTTAGCGATATACTGTGATTGTCAATTTATGAGGATGCACAATGGGCCTAATGAGGCATAAGTGCAGTGGAGTAATCCACTCTCCACACGTTACAGATACAGAGATATACTGTGATTTGAATGTTTATGAAAAATGTTACATTCTAAGTTTAACGTAATGTTAACGAAGCTTTTACGTAAATTTGCTAAAAGTCGTGATACCCATAGGAATATTCTAGCTCTATAATTCTTCTTTACTTCCCATTACATAAACATATTATATAAATAATCAATTTTGTAGAGATTTCCATAAATGATTACCAATACCATATAAATTTAAAACGGCATATGCGATTTTGCTGAAATTTGGTATATTGGTAGAATTTTATGTGGCAAAAAATGGTATTAAAATTTTGTCCTTGAACCTTTAAAAATTCTACGTCAATGGCAAAAAAGGGTCATCTGACATTAGCATTTTCTATAACGGTCTTTTCTACAAGAGTAACCAAAGAAGTAAATTATTTTTCCGAATTACTATAAAATATATTAAAACCTTTTGTCTGAAGGTTAAACATTTGAACTTGGTAAAAAATTAAAGGAATGATTAAAACAAAGCCAATTTCGATTACACTTATAGATAAACTGAGAACAATCTTATAATTAACCTACTTTGCTAAAGATCTAAAGTATGTCATTTATAAAAAAACAATTGAAAGATTGTCATGTAAATCTTAATAAATGCAATTTTTATCGAAGTCTGCAGTATATTTAGATTTTAATTGTACAGTACAGTATTCAACAATACCCAACTGAATTGATGTCAGTTGGTTAAAAGTAATATTAATAACTTTTATAGGTAGTAACTTTAAAACAATGTCACTGACCTATTTGACAGAAATATTAATAAGTTTTCATAAAAATCATTAACAACGACAATTTTTAATAATTTTCTTGCATTACCAGTTCATGGATATTGTTAAAGACATAAATACGTCTATAAAAGGTCTTTACAAAAACATATCACATATTCCTTAGACCAAAATAAGTCGATTTAAGTAAAATTACCTTAGTACAAAGTTGCTTCGTTTGGGCTTCAGAGGGCCTTGAAGTTACAATTTTTAAATCGTTTTTCCCATATAAATTTAAAACGGCATATGCGATTTTGCTGAAATTTGGTATATTGATAGAGTTTTATGTGGCAAAAAAAATAATATTAAAATTGTGTCCGATAATAATACATAGGCGTAGAACTTGATTTTTTAAATAATTGCACCTTTAAAAATTCTACGCCAATGGAAGAAAATGAGTTTGAGTATGAAATTTAGATTGCATAACTCATTTACTTTAAAAAAGGGACTCTTGATAAGACTTGATTACTCTCATCGTTTTCGCTAAATATCTGTTTTAATAATTTAGAGTGTATAGGTTTCACAAAAATATTTATTTACAACATAATCAAAATAGAGATTTTACAAAAATTGTTCAAAATGTTCACCATTTTCACGCATACAAAGATTTATACGTCGAAGAAAATTAAAATGTATCCTTTCCATAACTTCTTCATCACCTCTAAGATTGGTTATTGCATCTTGAATACGTTGTCAGAGTTGTTCCTAATTTTCTACAGGTTCCCTGTAAACTGTGGATTTTAGATGTCCCCATAAAACGTGGTGGCCAGTTTACAGGTGCGTCATTACCTCTGCCTATCCATTTGTGTGGATATTGTTCATTCAAGTGGTTTCTAACGTTTAAAGAAAAATGTGGTGGAGCTCCATCTTGCATAAACCACATATCTCTCCGAAGTTGGAGAGGTAAATCTTCTAACAATTCTGGCAACGTATTTTGTGGAAAATCCAAATAATTTTCTCCAGTTAATCTTCGTGGAAGTATGACAGGACCAACAATAAAATTACCAATTATTCCAGCCCACAAATTAATTTTGAATTCGTGTTGAAAATGGTTTACCTTTATTGCATGCGGATTTTCAACGGCATAAACATGTTCATTATGGGTATTAGTTATACCTCTTCTTTTAAAACCCGCTTCATCGGTAAAGAGAACCTTCTTGACAAAGTTTGGATCTCTTTCTCTTTGCATATTAACAAATCAACAAAAACCCAAACGAATTTGAGGATCATGGACTAATAATTCTTGTACTGGCTTCTTATGGTATGGATATAGCAATTGTTCTCTAAGCACTTTATGAACGACATCTTTACTTACTCCTAGTTCCCTTCCAATTCGTCTGGTGCTTAATTCTGGATCTTCTTCAACACGTTCTAAAATGTCTTCTTCAACTTCAGGAATCCTTACAAAACGTTCTCTTCCATTATCAACAGTGTTGGCAGCAAAGGAACCGGTCTCCCGAAGACGTCTCTCAACAGCAGCAAAAGTTGGGTGGCTAGGTACACGACGATTTGGAAACCTTTCAAAATATACCCTGACACTCTCTCGAGCATTTCCTTCACAAAATCCTAATGTCAGTAACATATCGGTATATTCTGCATTGGTATATTGTACAGCCATATTAATAAACCACGCATTTGTTTTTTTTTTAATTACTGAGTCAGATAGAACACTTTCAATCGTTAACAAGAGATTAGGTGTTAAAACTTGACAATATTTTTATTTAGATGAAACTATGGAAACCAACAATAAATGTTTTTGTATACGTATTGCAGGCAAATAATTAATATTCCTCAAATAATCCTACATGGCAAGAATCGAGTATTTTTGTTAAAAGTCTCGATTAGATGTGTCGAAGAAGATATGAAAAAAGTACATTTTTATGTTTTTCATCGTATAAAATTTTGTCCGATAATAATACATAGGCGTAGAACTTGATTTTTTAAATAATTGCACCTTTAAAAATTCTACGCCAATGGCAAAAAAGGGGTTTGAGTATGAAATTTGGATTGGGTACTCATTTACTACAAAAAAGTACCCTTGATAACACTCGATTTACTCTCATGGTTTTGACAAAGTTTGTATTTTAATAATTATTGTTTAAAATTACTAAAATGCAAATTTCGTCAAAACTATGAGAGTAATCGAGTCTTATCAAGAGTACCTTTTTTAAAGTAAATTAGTTAAGCAATCTAAATTTCATACTCAAACTCCTTTTCTTCTATTGGCGTAGAATTTTTAAAGGTGCAATTGTTTAAAAAATCAAGTTCTACGCCTATGTATTATTATCGGACAAAATTTTAATACCATTTTTTTTGCCACATAAAACTCTACCAATATACCAAATTTCAGTAAAATCGCATATGCCGTTTTAAAGTTATATGGGAAAAACTATTTAAAAATTGTAACTTCAAGGCCCTCTGGAGCCCAAACGAAGCAACTTTGTACTAAGGTAATTTTACTTAAATTGTCTTATTTTGGTCTAAGAAATATGTGGTATGTTTTTGTAAAGATCTTTTACAGACACCCTGTATATGAGTAAGAAAGTTATTTGTCTCAAATATGGTATAACCGTAAAGGAAGGGAAAATTATATATTTTACAGACCTGATGATGGTCATTGACCGAAACTAGTCGCCTTTCGCCCCCTTTTTTAATGAAATTTGTTGTGGTTAAGACTGAGAATTTTCCCTTCCTTTACGTAAATATATATTTACATCAAAATTAATAAGAAGAAACATTTTTAGTAAGTTGATGTACCCAGTTTTATTATGATAGGGAAAAATTAAACTAATTTACAATGAATTAGACAAGGTATAATAGGAACATGTGTGTAACAAACAAATAGTGCCAATCACCGATGAATTACTGCATACTTTAGCAAAAGTGGGGATTTTTTTATCAAAATGTTATCGGTGAGATGCATTTCTAGCTCTGATTATATTACGACATTCCTTTGAATTTCAAAAATTATTTATTATAATAAGTGTAGCAAATAATTTCTTTTATGAAAATAAAAACTAAGGTGTCGGTGTTATAAAAAATATATTCTTGCAAAAAAAATGAGATAAAATTCTAAAAAAAAAAAAAAAAAAAAATTCATGTGAAAATAATTCTAAAAAATACAAATAAAAAATAAATACAAATCTAATTAATTAAAGGTTTTAATTTTAAACACAACTCAGTAAACCATTAATTATATATCAGTAAAGTTATTTGATAAACTATTAGACCATTTAAAAAATTGTAATAGGTACATGTTTAACAGAAGAAAGTTTTTTTCTAATAAACATTACAATTATTTCTTTTAACATTATTTTATAATTATTTCGATCATATATAACATCGGACAACATTATTTATTTATTTAAATTTATCTATATCTAGAGTATATTTATATTCAATAATGATAAATTTAGGATAACATATTTACCTAAATAATATTCTTTAAAGCCAAAGTGGACAAGGTGTGTTTAATTTGCTTCAACTAGACATGCTAAGAAACCGTTAATGATCAACTTCGCCTCCTTATTGAAATATTTTTAGGATTTTCCAGGTCCGGGTTTTTATAAATAATTATCTGAAAAGATTAAAATTTATTTTTACTAGAAAACGAGGGCCACAAAATAATAAGTTTTCCTGATGACACTGTGATCATTTATAAAGGAAATAATTATTATGACTTAAAAATTTAAAAAATTCTAGATAACAGGTTATTATCGTTAAATATCCAGAAGACAGTATATCTACCTTTCAGCAGCCAATCGACCTCCCAACCTACTTTTGATTTATCAATACAAGATGAATTTAAAATACGACCTACGAAAGAAATTAAATATTTGGGCATCATGTTAGACTGCTGCTTTAGATGGGATATACATATTAATTATCTGCTAAAAAAATTAAGATGTATATTGTATAGATTTAAAAAACTGAATTTTAAATATCAAAGAAAAAAAAAATGGTATGTCAGAGTTTGGTAGAGTCTTATCTGAACTATGGAATAACAGGATGGAGAGATGTCTCAAAAGTGTATCATAAATCATTGCAAATATGTCAAAATCGTTTTCTTAAAATTCGAGAGACGCTAAAATGGTGGTTCCCACCGATAGTAGTAGTATTAGCACGTTGAATTTTTTGGTTTGTGAAGCATTGGCATTACTTAGGTTAAATCATGTGATGATTTTCACAAGCCTTGATTTTTAAAACCATTCTATATCGCCTTTTGATTAGGGTTTAAAAACTTGTTTGAGCAATTTATCCAATAATAATTGGCCCCTTTACCTCTTAAGCCTGCTCATGTAAAATATTTGGGCTTCTTACTTCGCCTATTTATATTCTATTAATAAAGGACAAAAGGATGAGTATTGCAACTATGTTAAAAGAAATAAATTGGCTTTCAGTTCAGAACTACCCAATCTAACCAATCTGACTTTCATGTACGGCAAGCCATCACTATTTAATAGCTTACCCGACAATATCCAAAGACAAACAAACTTAAAAACTTTTAAAAGTATTCTTAAGGACCTAGAAAAGAAATACATGACTTAATTGAATAAAATAATATCATTTAAACAAATTCTTACCCACTTGTCAATTAGATTTTTATAATTTTATGGTTTGATTTTATGTTCTTATAAGATAATATTTTCTAACATTAGGTAATATGTTTTTTATATTTTTAATGTTTTTGAATTTTAAATAAATTTATATTTTTAACGTTTTTAAATTTCAACAATACTAATACAATTATACTTCTTATAGTCACGTACAGGACATGTCAATATGGCTTCTCTTATTGTTTATTATATGTTTTTTATGTATGTATATTTTAAAATAATATTTGTAAACTTATTGATTCAAATAATAAACATTCATTCATTCATTTAATTTAAGATGTTAAGATGTACATAATACTGCAATTGAGCCCCAGACAACACACCAAATCCCAGAGATATCCACAGAATATCTTTTGTGGATATCCAATATATCTACAGGATATCAGAAATATTCCGTGGATCTAATATGGATATTCAAATGTCAGTCTATATCCAGAATATAGAAGATCATATGGATATCCAGTAAAATATCTAATGAGTATCTCTAGACAATACAAGAAATCCCAGAGATATCCACAGAATATATTCTGTTGATATCCAATATGGATATCCAACCAAATGTCCGTCTATATCCCAGGATATAGAAGAATTCGGATGTTCAGCAAAATATTTTATAGGTATCTTTAGTAGAGGTTCATAAGTAACCAATGATTAATGAATAAAGTCGAAAGAAAATAGCAGAGATAAAAAATATTTTCAACACTCAAAATATTTTCAACACTCTGCCTTTGATTTTGCCCACTAAGGAGAAAGTTATCCTTACTAGGACTCTTCAGCAATAAATGGAAATTCTCGACTCCAGTCTCTAATGGAGTCTGATTGTGAAACAAATTTCGATCGAACTCAATTACGGCGGGTTGAGCATGAGTAGATGCGAAAGTAGTATCGCCATCTATACTTAGTAAGCAAAATCAAAAATTACTTCTAGTGGATATCTACGATGGTTTGCGTTCGCGCCTAGACTTTGATATATTTAGTGGATGTCCATGGGATATTGAATACACCTTAAAAAAATTAATTTTAAATATCTGAACGGTACTATTAGCCACAATGGCGAGCACAATGGCGTAATTTTTTAATAATTTGCTATATAATTACTATTATTTATGGACATTTGCATGTCTATAAATTACAGCTCATGTATATAAAATAGATATCCACCATGGACTGGACATTCAGTGGATATTGGGATGTTCAGTAGATATCCAAAGGATTTGGTGTGCTGTCTGGGGCAATAGATACTCTTTATTTAATTAGAGGTATTTTAGTTAGGGCAAGATGATTTTAATCTTGAAGCAAGGCTTATTAGCTATTGTTAAACAAGTATTACTAGAATTTCTAATCGAAACGAGTTTTACTTGCGGATATACAAACACAACAAAGCATTGAAATAAGACCATTCATCTTAAATATAATACACCTTTTATTCTGTGTATTAAAAGTATTTAATACAAAAATAAATATAATAATAAAACTGTTTTGGCTCCAGATCTAATAGAAAAATTATTTGACCAAATTGCTCCTTCATTTGGATCCAAATTTTATTCCTCAGCTGGTATTAGGAAATAAAAATAACCTTTATTCAAAAACGGTTTAAAAAATCTATGAAAATTTAATTTGATATCTTTAAAAATTATCACTAATTAAAAATATCGTACTTTTCCTCCCACTTTACTCTATCCACATATTCTGGAACACTGTGTATATAATCAATAAATATTGTTATTACAATTATTTGAGATATAAAAACGAAGTAAAATTTTGTTTTTTAATGTGACTTTCAACAATTAAGTGTCAACTTGGAATTATGTAATATGAAAATATTGACAATCTTATCTAATGTTGCCAATAATTAAAATTTATGGATTTACTGATTGCGGTACTGTATATATAGCTTTAAAATGACACATAATTAGTAACGCCAGCTTAAACTCAAATCCCCAAAGGAGTAAGAGAAATTCGCGTACAGAAAACAAATTCGGTTATGTTTTAAAATATCTGCAACAGTACCTGAGTAACCTCTTGGACGAGACAAGATGCACTCGTCGATTTTGTTCATTTTTTTGTGCTTTCTTGTAAATATTACAAGCGGGTTTCGGGTTTTAATAGTTTCGCCGATACCGTCTAGAAGCCATTATAATTTATGTCGAGCATTAGTTGATGGACTAACTAAAGCTGGACACGATGTGACTTTTGTTACACCCTTTGAGGACAAACCTCCACCGGGAAATGGGTCTTTCAAGGTTGTCAATTTGGCGAACTGTATGGCCCCAGGTTAGTATTCTAATTTTAAAATAAAATTGATGCTTTATCAGTCTGCGGTTAAGGATCAAATTATGAATGTCCTAATACTGTCAATGTAATCGGCAGGATACATTTTAACTTCATGTTACGTGCACTTTCCTATTATCTATATATACAATTTTATTCTTTTGGTCCTTAACAAGTAACTTTTAAAGGTAATTTTGTTTTTTTTTTGAGACGATTCCAAGGTATCCATGACATAGAAAATAAAAAAAGGACAGATCAGAAAATAAAATTTTTTTATGAACCCTTTTTTGTAATACCTGGTATAAATAATAATAATAATAATGTAAACCTGAGAGTTTCAAGCGGGTTTGATAAAAGTTTAAATTTAACACTGTAAGTCAAGTGTAATTTTGAACATTTTCAGATAATTTGTTAATGAAAGTTCTTAGATAATTTTTAAATTGAAACTTTTTAAATAAGTTTCTGGTTGTATGTTAACAATAAGTTTTCATAATTTTCCATAAAGTATAATAAGTTTATTTTTTCAAGTGATTATTTAATATGAATCAAATATATCCGCTCCTAGACATATTTCTTTTTCTAGCATAAGTTAGGTACAAATAACACTTTAACCTGTCCTAAAGAGAACGACTTGCAAGGTCAAATATGGCGTCAATCAACCCCAAAGGGAATTTTCCGATTATTTAATAGGAATCAAATATCCCCGCTCCTAGACATAAGTTAATAAAAAAAGAAAACAACCTTAATTTCTTAATTTGTTAGTCTGTAAATAATGTATATCCATTTTCTCTCAAAACTATCTATTACGTTCAATATGTATTACCAAAATACCCGAGGACTTAGAAACAAGCTTAATGATTTTTTTTCTGCAAGTACTAATGGAACTTTACGAAATAAAATATTTTTTTATTTTTTCAAATTTTTTCTTTCACTACATAAAACTACAAACGATTTCAAATACAAATTTAGCAGTTTTAAATAATAATAATAATAATAATAATAATAATATTAAATAAATTTAAAATTATAATTAATTAGTTTTTTTTGTAAAAACCTTAAAACTACAAAAAAAATAAAAGTCTTTACAATCATCTACATCGTTTGTAGTTTTAATTCATAAAAATATTTTTTTATTTTGATATTAGTCGGGTTCCAAAATGACGGAGATATAAATGTGTCCATCATAAAATCTATATCGTTTGATGTTTCTAAGAATTTCCAAGATTCTATGCTCAAGTAAATTCTCAATTTTGTGTAATTAACGAATTTTTTAAAATTAGAAATATTTGGTGTTTTTAAATAAAGTGGTACATTGTTAAATTAATTATTTTATTTGCAAATATTAGTGGTAGATACATGTAGTTTTTTGAATGCCTCCTAAAATAATTACGACGCCACTGACAAGACAATTTTCGGAAAATTAGTCACTAAAAATTGTTCGCTAAGTTCACACCGGTCAATTATTTGAGGTATAAAAACGACGAAAAATTTTTTAATGTGATTTTCAACAATTCTAGTATCAACTTGGAATTATGCAATAATATAGTATTATTGACAATCTAATCTAATGTCAATAATTTAAATTTATTTGCGGTACTGTATATATAGTTTTTAAATGGCACATAATTATTAACGTATAGTTTAAAGATACATTCACGTATAGATAACATAAAATACATTGGACTTTAGTTGTTGCAGACGCTCATTCAGTCATGTTTTAAAATAACTGCAACAGTACCTGAGTAACAAAGATGAACTCGCCGATTTTATTTATTTTTTTTTGCTTTTTTGTAAATATTACAAGCGGGTTTCGGGTTTTAATAGTTTCGTCGTTACCGTCTAGAAGCCATTATTATCTAAGTCGAGCATTAGTTGATGGATTAGTTAAAGCTGGTCACGATGTGACTTTTATCACACCCTTTGAGGACAAACCTCCACCGGGAAATGGACCTTTCAAGGTTGTCAATTTGCCGAACTGTATGGCCCCAGGTCAGTATTCTAATTTTAAAATAAAATTGATATTTTTATGACTTCTAAATGGACTGTTCAACAATAATCGTGTACTACGTGTAATACTGTCAATGTAATCGGCAGGATACATTTTAACTACATGTTATGTGCACTTTCCTATTATCTATACAATTTTAATCTTTTGGTTCTTAACAAGTAACTTTTAAAGGCAATTTTTGTTTTTTTGAGACGATTCTAAGGTATTCCTTGAAAATAAAAAAAATCGACATATCAGAAAAATAAATTTTTTTAATGAATATTTTCTTCAAAAAATTTATTTTCTAAACGAAGGAGGACCCACAAACTTTTAAATGTAATTTTCGGTTTTTGAGACAATTCTAAGATATCCATGGCATAGAAAATGGAAGGATAAAAAAATAAAAATATATTTTTTGAAACTTTTTTTCGAATAATTTATTTTCTAAACGAAAAATCATACAAACTTTTAAAGGTCATTTTCAGTTTCTTGAGACGATTCTAAGGTATCATAGAAAATACAAAAAAAACAACCGTTCAGAAAAATTTTGGTGAACGTAATCCCAAACAAGAGTTCGGAAAAAAGATCATAATGACCATTTTTTTTAAAATCTCGAAAAAAACTTGGGTCGGAAAATAGATCTTAATGACCATTTTTATTAAAATATCGAAAAAAAATTAGAGGGAGCTTCCTAAAGGATAAGAGTATTCTAAAACTGTACGAAATTTGTCTAGCAACAAAGACGGTTAAAACAATAGGTTTATCTAAATAATTCAAACTACATCTCTCTTCATATAGGTCTATTTCAGTCACTCTCATTAAATGTTCAAAATGAATTAACAAGCAAACTCGTTGTCTCTCCCGCCAAGCTCAGACGATGTTCAAACGGCCAATAGAAATTTAACACCGTAAGTCACGTATAGCTCGCCAAGAGCAAAGCAATAAATTAGCAATAAATTAAAAATGAATTAGCAATAATTTAACTATAAATTATTAATAAATTAGCATAAACTCGGAATGAACCAGCAATAAATTAGCAATCATTTAGAAATAAATTGAAAATAAATTATAAATAAATTAGCAATGAATTAGCAATATATCATCAATAAATTAACAATTCAATAGCAATAAATTATCACTAAATTAACAATAATTTAGCAATAAACTAGCAATAAACTAACAATAAAGTAGCAATAATTTAACTATAAATTATCAATGAACCAGCAATAAATTAGCAATCGTGTAGAAATAAATTGAAAATAAATTAACAATGAATTAGCAATAAATCATCAATAAATTAACAATTCAATAGCAATAAATTATCACAAAATTAGCAATAAATTAACAATACATTAGCAACAAATTTGAAATAGATTAGCAATAAATTGGCGATAAATTAGTAATAAATTAGTAATAAATTAGTAATAAATTAGTAATAAATTAGTAATAAATTAGTAATAAATTAGTAATAAATTAGTAATAAATTAGTAATAAATTAGTAATAAATTAGTAATAAATTAGTAATAAATTAGTAATAAATTAGTAATAAATTAGTAATAAATTAGTAGTAAATTAGTAATAAATTAGTAATAAATTAGTAATAAATTAGTAATAAATTAGTAATAAATTAGTAATAAATTAGTAATAAATTAGTAATAAATTAGTTATAAATTAGTAATAAATTAGTAATAAATTAGTAATAAATTAGTAATAAATTAGTAATAAATTAGCAATTAATTAGCGATAAATTATAAATAAATTAACAATAGATTATAAATTAGCATAAATAGCAATAAATTAGCAATAAATTGGCAATAAATTGGCAATAAATTGGCAATAAATTAGCAATGAATAAGCTAAAAATGAAGGAGCATAAAAAAATTAAAAATTCGGTCGTGACTCTGCTAGTTTTCACATACTCGTACACTAGCAAAATCACAGTTTTTCTAATGAAGCAAATGAGCAATAAGATTAAAATAGATTGATTAGGATTTTTTTTTTTTGGCATAGGCACATTGCCATTCAGCCAGACACAAAATAGATTGATTAGGATTAAATGATGATATAACAAAAAATGAAAAGTTCGGTTGTGATCCTGCTTGCATACACTACATGCATTTTTAATGTTTAATAAATTGGGTTCTATTTAAAAAGTCATAAAGAGATAAGTAAAGTACTCCCACTTGTACAAAAGTCAATGCCAATGTTTATGATATGTGCGGAGCTACTTTGCAAATATATTATGCGTTTAGTACGTATTGTTTTGTGACCTGACAAAACAGTTACACGAAAGTGCATAAAACAGGTGAATGACCTTTATTAATATATTGCCATAATATTGATATATACTAAAAAACAAATAGAGATGAGCACAACTCACTATAAATAAACTTGTTTGCAGATAATATATATCAAGGATTTTTAATATACTTCCGTTGACTAACAAACAAATTTAATAGTCCATATAAATTATTTAAAAACAAGTTAAACTATGGATCGAAGAACAAACTATAATAAAAATTTAAAATTTTATTGATCTGAAAACCAATAATGGTTTGTAGTAAAAAATTTATTTCTTCATAAATTAATCTTTTATTCAGTTATTCATTTATTATGTGAAACTTATTTTACTTAACATATTTTTTATGTTTCATAAAACATGTAAAACCAGTCATGAGCGGCGTTTAAGCGCTATAAAATTATTATATAAATAATAAATGATTTATTTTCCATAAGATAATACAATTATTGCATGTGATTTGTCAAAATACACGTAAATAAAAAAAAATATGATATAAAAGCATAAAACTAGAAAATAGAATAAAATATGGGTAGGACTTATTCAGCGAGATCACAAAAGCAATATTCTAGTAAAAAACCTTTCAATTTTCTTTTAAAAATAAAAAATGAATTACTTTCCTTTATTACAAGAGGAAGTCTATTGAACAATTTGGGCCCAAATTAATTTGGCGCATTATCTTGAGTCGTGCGTAAGGTATATGTAGTTCGTCAGCCTGTCTGGTTTCATACCTGTGTACATTTCTATTAATTACAAACATTTCTTTGTGTTTATATGTGTATAGGTACATTTCAAAACTAAAAATACAACAAAGGGGTAATAGGGGAGAGTGGTACACAATGAAACGATTTTTCGAATATTTCATATAAATTCCGACTTTATTATTTAAAGAATTTTTTTATTGCATTGTTATTGGATATTTAGCTATAAATAACCGTAGTTAGTTTTTTAGAAAACCATACTATTTAGGTAAAAAAAAAAAAATAAAATCTACATAGATGTTTTTGTATCAATTTGTACCACTGGTGGTACAGTTTGAAACATGGGGTAGTACACAATGAAACAAAATGGTACACGTATAAAAACATTTATTATTTAAAAAAAAAATCAGTTGTGAAAGAACGAAAACATTTTTTATTTTCAAAAAATGTTGGTAAAAAAACTAAAATAAACTGAATCAATTCAAAAAAGGAACAAAACCATTTTTTCTTTTCAACCTATCGGTAAAAAAACTAAAATCTTTATTTTTAATAATAATAATAAATAATAGCAAAAGATTAGCGTACAATCATGCTGCCAAAATCAACTCCGAATTTAACATATGATGAAAGCCTTTTGTTCTTTGTATTTATCGGATTCGGTAACAGGATTGCAAAATCTGATTTCAGCGCCATATGAATGTCCGGAACATCTGGAAAATAGAATGAATTTGAAACTTTTGCACTCTTCCTCAAATACGAAATTTTAAATTCGTTAGAGTTTACAGCTTCCAAAATTTTAGCAACATAGTGAATATTATTTTGAAATTTGACCAAGACAAAATAATCTTTCAAAATTTCAGTAGTTTCATCAATTGCTAAAAATTCTGATTGTTCCTTCTCTTCCTGCATCATATGGTACTGAAATTCAGCTAAGGTTAATTCATCATCTGAAGAATCCGCATGTTTTGCTTTTTTTCTTTGTATCCGTTTTGTCTGCACTTATATTTCGTTTTACCCTTTTAACTGCTTCTGTTTTAGGAGTTTTTTCTTTTCTATTTTGTACGAGAAATCTTTCATTTCTGGTGTATTGGTTAAAATGACACTTTTCTTCGATTTTGGTGTTCGATTTAAATTTTTTCGAGGAGCTGCCTTTGGAAAGCCCCGTATCTCAAATGGTGAAATAAATGAATCTTCTGTAGTCGACGCTATTTCCAAAGTAGAGTCTTCCTTATCATCTGCACACTGTTGAGGATTGGTTGTGCTACATGAAGCAACAGCGGTGTCGTTGCCGCTGCCGCCGGCATCTTGTTCATCGTTCAGATTTTCTTGGACTACAACCATTCCTTGTTGGAGGTTGTCCTTTTGGGCGTCTTCAGGTCTGTCAGTCACCGAGTTCAGATTTTCTTGGACTACAACCATTCCTTGTTGGAGGTTCTCCTTTTGAGCGTCTTCAAGTCTATCAGTCACCGATGAAACAAGAAAGTCAGCCTCCGTAAAAATATTTTTATTGAATGGGTAGACACCCGTTAAACGGAACCCGTTTAATATGTTTTCAGGCGTCATTGATTTTGAGTGGGCAATACCAACACATTCAGCTATTTGATATAGCGTCATAGGTACGGCGGAGTGGGTGAGGAGCCACGAATATATTGCACCATTGTAAAAGTTCTTAAAATAGTAAAACACTGCTTTGTCTAAAGGCCGCAACTTGTTAGTCGTATGTGGCGGGAGGGTTACGATAATGATTCCATTGTTTTTTGCCTTTTCCTCTATCTCCAGAGACATATGTGATTCGTGGTTATCATATATTAATAGGCATGGCCTTTCTTTTGTCACACCAGTATGTTTAATAAAGTGGTTTAACACCTCAACGAACAGTTCAGCTCTCTCACTTTTTGAGTATGTAACCCAAATGCCATTTTGCTACAGGTCTTTATATATTCAGATAAAGATATTTCCTGTTAGGTGCTAAATATTGATCTAACAGCATAATTCGGTTACATTTTAGTATTAGGGTCATTTCGTTCCTTTAGCACATAACGCCTTAATGTGACAAAATTTACATCAAACATATCTGCAGCAATGCGTAAGGAAGTCCCATTTATTTTGACCTCTTGGACTGCTGCGGTCATTTGATCTCCTGTAAATTTAGCTCTTGTTCGCTCCTTCTTCCTTACCATGGTTGCCTACAACTAAAAATTCCACGGTCAGAAAGACACAAGGTGGTACACAATGAAACATGTTTCAATGTGTACCACTACGCACTTTTTACAATACCGATAAACAGGTCCTAGGTCTCAAAGCCTTTCCTGTGCCATTGTTGATCTCAAATAATTTTTTATTATTTTAAAAGTTTTGAAAAGCTTCTTTTGTAATGTTAAAATAATTCGAATGGCAATTACTAAATTTGGAAATGAGGTTATTTGTAAAAAAGTATTGAACTACATTTAAAGCGTTCATTTTAGGGGAAATATAGGGTGCAACGTTGTCGATTTCATTACATAAATCTACAGCTATAATATCAGTTTTATATTTGGTTGAAATTATTGAGAAAATTGAAGATTTGAGTGATTGACTGGTTTCTAGTTTCAGAATCATATATTTTTGTTACATTGCACCTAATAACTTTAAGCGCTTTCACATCCAGAACTGAAAGTGTTTAAGTTGGGATTTCATCTTTTAAGACCTTTCGAATATACTTTTCAAATATACTATTGCCATTGTAAGTTTTTAAATTATTTCCACCATATACAGTTCATCAAATTTCTAGAGGTGTTCGACGCCCAGACAGAGAACGCGCTACGTGTGACTAAGATAGCTATTGTACAGTCTGCTAAACAAGTTATTTTAAATAGTTTTTAATATTTTTAGGTAATTAAATTTTAAAAGTGTGGAATAGTTTAGGGATTAAATTGGTCTGATTGGACTTTCTTAGAACGTTTTTAAAAGCAGCTAAAGATAGTATGTAGAATTGAAAATAATTATTATGCCATAAACGGTGTTTTGGAATTCCTTCAACCTTTTGAAATTGAGTCAGAAAATATAAATTTTATAGGATAGCGGAAAATACCTATAATTTTTTTGTAGGCCTTTGTAAATCGTGGAAATAGTTTATATTTTATTTCTACCTTATTAAGGAAAATGGTACCTATTATTAATAACGGTTGTTTCTGAAACATTACTAAAATTTTCGAAATTTTGTTTTTCTACAAAATAATAAACTATACTATTTAGAAAAAAATTTATTTCTCTTATAATTTTATAAAAAATAACAGGGGAATATTTACATTTCTTGATCTATTAAACAAAACGATAAATTATCTCGACGAATGACACCATGTTCTAGTACGGAAGCTAGCTTTACATTTTTGTTGGTGGTTTCATGGGTTTCATATCAATTTTTTGTAATTGTAGTTTACACGTACATATACCTCTTAACACTTGTTTGCTTTATTAAAAAAGTGTGTTGTTGTGATTTACGTCGAAATAAGTCAAAAACAACTTGAAACCCCATATAAAATCAAAAAGGAGAAACGGAAAAAAATTGAGCCTGTAAATGAACACAACTCAGAAACAAAAATAGCTATCTAATAATAAAAAAATAAAATTTGATTCTTGTGCAGCTTCATCTATATCATTAACTGTTTTTGGTTTTTTAATGGTTTTTCTTGGTGATGAAAATTCCGATATCTCACGGTTATCGATTCTTTTTTTCTCTCCAGAAATGCGGACGACAGTGTTTTTAGATACTCCTGTGGCTGCAGCAACACGATCATTTACATTTTTAAATGGTATTGAAGGTGAATTAAAGTTTCCTTCTCTTCTCATAAACTCTATAACATTGGCTATTATTTCGCGAGATTGACTGTTAATCACGCGGCCTCTTAATTTGCTATTAAACTCCATACTTAGGTTCTATTAAACTGTAATGAGCAAAAAACACAAACGAAAATAAAAGAAATGTTTTAGCGAAATTTACATCTGACATTTACGTCTGAATGAAATAGTGAAATACTTGATGCGCAGAGTGTACTTTCATTGCGTAAATCCGTCGGGATGCCTGTCAGTAGTGCTTTCTCTGTCTAGCCGTCGAAAGCCTCTAGAATTTGATGAATTGTACTGATTTAAAATCGTTTTTTTCAGCCCCAAATGCAGTATCACATAACTATTTCCAGATGGAACAAATGAATCCTTTTTTCATTGCGCCATTGACCAACGATCTCGGAGAAAAATGCGTGAAAGCCACTTTCGAAAGTGAAGATGTAAAGAAATTTCTTCAATCGAATCAACATTTTGACGCAGTAATTGTGGAGTCCCTTTTCACTGATGGTCTAGCAGCATTTGCTTGTCATTTTAATGCTGAGCTTATAACGCTGAGCCCACTAGGAGCTGTTCAATGGATTAACGATGTTATCGGTAAGTAGTTTTATATTTAAAACTATTTGTCTTTCAATATGTCTGTTTTAGGCAATCCAACTCCTTCGTCCTACGTACCAAACGTTTTCTTAGGATTCAGCGAGCATATGAACTTTTGGGAAAGGTCGCAAAATTATTTGATAAGTCTAATAACTTCGCTGAGTCATAAATTTCTCACGTATCCCAAACACGATGACTTGGTACGTAAGCATTTTCCGAATTGTCCATGCGTGGAGGAAATGAATAGAAATGTTGCTTTAATTTTGTCGAATTCGCACGAAAGTATATCTCCTACATCGCCCAGAGTTCCAAATATTGTTGATATTGGTGGGTTCCACATTAGTCCTACATGTAAGTTTTTAATCATTAAATATTCTGGGAAGAAACTTTGATAGAAGAATCTGATCTTGTGCTGTAAAAGTTTACATAAATTAGTTCAGCATTCATTTGGAAATTAATCCCTTCATAAATCGAACCCTGTTTTCAGGAACATATATAAAAGGAAAATCTTATTAATAACCATCACCATTTATATATCGACATTTCTTCTAGAATAATTTTTTTTCTTCTATATTTTAAGCTGAAAAACTACCTGTTGATTTGCAAAAACTATTGGATGGAGCAAAAGATGGAGTAATATATTTCAGTCTGGGGTCCCATGTAAAACCCTCACAAATGACATTAGAAATGAAGCACACTCTGATCAAAGTGCTTGGATCGTTGAATCAAACTGTCTTATGGAAATGGGATGATGATAGTTTTCCAGAAGGAAAACCTAACAATATCATTGTAAAAAAGTGGTTTCCTCAACAGCAAATTTTAGGTACTCATATATGTTTCTTTAAAAATGGTTGTTTATTATAATTTTTGAGACTAACAAATTTAGACACATGTTTAGACTATGTACAATTTTTTATTTACATATTTACACCTATTAACTATTTGCTTGTTTTATTTTAGCTCATCCTAACACTAAGCTATTTATAACTCAAGCTGGGTTATTAAGTTTATCAGAAACCATATACATAGGTGTTCCGATTTTGGCAATGCCGGTGGTTGCAGATCAGAAATCAAATGCAGCTAGAGCGGAGTTATTAGGAATTGGAAAATCACTATTGTTTTCTAATCTCAACGAAGAATCTTTTAGTTCGGTATTAAATGAAATATTAACGAATCCAAAGTAAGTACTTACTTAATAAGTTCTTTATTATATATCACACAATCTTTATATATTATGTTTGATGCAACCAAAATAAGTATATGTTATGTTTATTCATAGATTTAACAGGCGCCTATGACGTGGTTGATCTAGGTATTTTACAATCTAAGATGAATAAAATGGGCATCAATTATAAGGTATCTGCAAACATAATCAACTTATTCATAAACAGAAAGATATTTGTCCGTGATCATAAAAATGTACTACATGGCCCGAGAACCGTATATAATGGTTTACCACAAGGAGCTGTTTTAAGTCCACTTCTTTTTAATATATATACAGCAGAACTGCATGATTTGATGGATGATACCATTAAAATAATCCAATATGCAGATGACATATGCTTTTATACCATCCAAAATTCATATGAACGTTGTATGAGAGATTTAAAATATGTATTTTATTGTTTAAAAGACTGGATTAGTGACATGGGTTTTAGTATTTCACAGGAGAAATCAGCTGTTATGTGCCTTACGCGACACAGACTTAGAACTGCTGAATATTGCTCATTAGGTGACTTGACTATACCCATAGTTAGTGAATACAAATACCTTGGTTTAGTTATAGATAAAAAATTGCTATGGACCAATCATATAAAATACATAAGGCAAAAGTGTGATAAGGGACAATCTCCTACGTATAGTTTCTAAAAATAAGTGGGGTGCAGACCCAAACATCGCCTTCACATTTTATAAATCTTATATTCGTTCTATACTGGATTATGGATGTATATGGATCAACGTGTAATTCAAATTTGTTATCTATAGATCGAATTCAATTTAAAGCCTTAAAAATATGTTTAGGGGCTATGGTATCGTCACCTAATCATGCAATTCTTGCTGAGGCATAGGACCCGCCTCTGTGCATTCGAAGAGATTTTTTAGTAAATAAACAAGTTATTAAGTATAGGTCTTTTAGTAATTTTATGATCACCAAAATTTCAACTGTAGCTGTAGAGAACCTAACGAATTTATACTGGGAAAAGAAGAACTCTCCCCCTCTTGCAAATGCTTTTATTGATACTAGTCCATATAATAACCAAATTGAAAAATTTCAGAAATTACCCATATATGAAATTGAATTTAAAATTCTAATATCTAAACCAACCATTATTATTCCGAAATACTCAGATATTGCAAGCCTTACGAAAACTATCTTTAAATCCGTACTCAGTAATTTGGGAGATAATTTAACTACTATTTATACAGATGGATCGAAAAATGGTTTAGGCTGTGCATTTCTTGTTTCAGACACTAATTATATAGAATCATTTAAATTACCCTGCTTCTGTTCTATATTCACAGCTGAAGCAGTGGCGATTCTAAAAGCCTTAGATTGGTGCAAAGCAAATTCATTTCAGAATATAGTTATAGTGTCTGACTCCCAATCAGTTCTGCAGGCTATTGATAGCCCTTCCATAAGTCAAAACAAAAACGCGGTAATATTATCGATTAAGAAAATTATATTTGACCTTAAACAGAGTAGCGTTAAAGTTTCCTTGGTTTGGGTTAAAGGACATTGTGGCATTGCAGGAAATGAACATGTGGATAGGGCTGCTAAAGAAGCATGTAGTTTAGAACAAATTTCATTATTTTGTAGTTTTATAGATATTATTAGCATTTATAAAAAAGCTGTAAGAAGTAGATGGGAAATTAAATACACTGAGCATGCGAAGGCATCACAAAGTCACTATTATAGTATACATCCAAATCTTCCTAAGAATATTCCTTACATCAGTTCATGGAACTATAATAAATATCAGTCATCTATAATTACTCGTTTGAAGCTCAATCACGGCCGATTCCCTGCACATTTATGTAAAATTGGAATATTGGATTCTCCCTTTTGTCCATATTGCAATATAAACGCTGTAGCAGATATCAATCATTTATTTTTAGATTGTAATAAAAATGCTCAACATACCACCGTATTGTATCAAGATTTAAATAAACTTTCACTCCCACTTCCACTCAATATTTCTTCACTTTTAGTTCAATCAGATAAGATAATTTTTGACGCTATTATTAAATTTACTCAAAATACTAAAATAGATATTTAACATAATATATACAAAAATTATTAAGTTAAAACTTTCTGTGGTAAATAGACTTGCATGTCTGATGCCATCCCATTACAAAAAAAAAAAAAAAGAAAAAATTAAAAACATTTTGATTAAATGCATTCATGTAAATCAAGAATAGAAATTAATAGAGTCACTTAATACAACATGATAGAAAAAAGAATATATTTTAATATTTATGAATCTTCCTTTCCAATGATGTGTTACACTTGAGACTTAATAAACCTTGAACTTTTAGGCTTTATTTAACATTAAACTTTGACAATAACAAAATGTAAATAAATGAATGGATACGAGTTAGAACATACTATAAATATAAGATAAACTATGAGATAAGAACAGTGGCGCATCCAGAGTTTAAGTTTGGGGGGGTAGTCAAAATATTGACTTTATTTTCTGATATAATTTAAAAACAAAACAAACAGAAAACATATAATACAAGTAAATTTAAAAAGAACAACTTTTACATGTATAATAAATATTAAACACATTTTAAAAACATTAATAACACGAAAGCTTATAAATGAAAACATAACAAACACAAACAAAAATATTTTCTTGGGCATAACATACTCGCATGACCAAAAAACATGAAATGAAAAAAATTATAACGTAAAATCAAGTCGTCTATTTTTATTATTTGCAAATCTATTTATAATATGTCTACATTTACTTGAATGTCTCTGTGTATAAAAAGTGATAGCCCAATTAATCTATCCTGACCCATTGTTGAACGAAGTCATGTTTTAAGGCGCCGCAGAGAAGAGAAGCTTCTTTCAGCTGAAGCTACACTAACGGGTAGAGTGACCAAAACTTGTAGGCATTTTTTTAATAAAGGAAATATATTTTCATCGCAAGACGAATATAAACCGATACCATCTGTATCGCTTTTTTACATTTTTCTAAATACTGAATTCAGATTTTAATTTTAAAAGTATTAAATCTCTGTTTTGGTTATTTTCAAATTTGCTTATATATTCCGCAACTACTTCAATCGACTGACTAATTTCAGTATCCGTTTTTGAATTGAAAATGGAAGGAAAAAATATATTGAACTCGTAGGTATTCAAAGATTCCTCGTTAAAACGAAATTGGAGATCTTGCAATATATTATCTAATGAAAGGAATATAGATGCTTAGTCTAAAATAAGATTCGTTATTTTCTGCAGATATATTGGGGCGGTGCGTTTGACTCTGAGTAACTCTTGGTTTGATAATTTCTAAATCTAATTTTTTAAGAATATCTGACACTAAAGTAAAAATGGTCCTAAAATAAGTTTCGGAATTTCGACGTCTGAGCTTTTTGAAATAGATAAATTTAATAAGTGGCTGGCACAAGGACTTTTAAGTGCATTAGTTATTTTTTTTTTAATTCAGTAACGGCTCCTTTTTGTTCACCAAGTATTAAGTTGCAAGTATCAGTTCCAATTCCTATATACTTATAGGGAATTAAATTAATTTTTTTAATAAAATTAAATAAGATTTGAGCCAAAATTTTACCACTAACTGTTGGTTCTAATATGTCCTCATCAAACATTGCGTGACAATCAATAAAACCTACGAAATCTTCGTACAGACAATTTTCGTAACAGTATCTTAAGATTATTGACATTTGGAGTTATGACTTATGTAAAATAGTTTCTAAAATCTCCTCACCACAGAATTCAATTATTTCATTTTGCGTATAACTACAAATATAGGTTGCACGAGATGTATTGACAAAAGGGTCAATGTCTATCGATTTTTTATAACCATGTAAAATATTAAATGTGGTAACGCTGTGGTCACTGCTGCTACCGGCGCTAGTTTCGGCGGTTTGTTTACCCCATAGATATATATAACCAAGACAGATAGGATTATTTACAAAAATTTTGAAGAATGAACGGTGGTGTCTGCGGTAGAAACCCAATAATCGGATTGAACATTGATGCTAAGTTTACGTGCTTTTAACTATAGATATATATACCTAGCCAATACAGATTACACAATTTCTGAAGTCAACGCAGATGATCCTCGACAGAAATGCAATATTTGGATAAAATTAAAATATTGATGCCAAGTTTGCGATGTTTTTAACTGTAGTAATGTTATTGCGATTGCTTGAATTACTGTTAGGTCTTTAAATTGTCCAAAAAAAATAACGTCTGACAACAGCGGAAGTAGAGTAGACCGCAATTGTGGAGGGTCGTATATTGTTTCATTCATAAAAATTCCTTCGATACAGTACTAGTCCAGGAGCCAGTGCATTTTTTTCGTACTTGTTTTCCCGGTCCGTGTATATTTAAATAATCTATTCCCGGTGAACTGTATATTTAAAATGGAACGCCAATCTATTAACAAAAGTAAGCCAGATTGAATTCGCGCATTACGTCACATCGATACAAGTGAGATTGTTTACAAAGTGCCTTTGCAGGCCTATTTTGCCCATTTCATGTATTTGTTTTTAAATCATGTTAAGTTACTATTTTTGAAACTCAACAAGGAGAAAATCCAATTAACTCTTCCGTTGTGTATATATATAAGATAAATTAACTGAAGTTTTATTAGTAAAGTATTAACACTAAAATTTTAATGTAATTTACAGAAAATAGCTAGGTATGTATTTGTTTTTAAATAATTTGATAATTTATGAAAAAAGGGAGTAAAAGTGGAATGACCAGTGGCCAGTAGGTCAGTCAATACAAAGTATCATATATTTCTATTATAACATAACTAAAATACCTACATCTTTTAATCATAAGGACATGTTAAAAACCATTTTAATATATGCATTAGAATGAAGTAATAATAACTTAAAGAGACGAGCTCTTAAAGTAATAGCTGGTACAGCATGTTTTTTAAACGTTTCCTCATTGCTGCTAGAATGAAATCACTTACTATGAAATGTGCTCTAAAAACGGCATTTATAGCAGTCAGTGTTCAGTCTTAGGATCTCTTCTCATCCAAGCTGCATACATATTAAAAAATAATTTAAAAAAAAACATATTATATACCTATATAGTTTTCGGTTCTGGGTGCCCTAAAAGAGGACACTTAGCCGACAATTTGGCTCAGATAGCTAAAACCCAAAAGTCACACCCCGAACTAGGACGTATTGCTATCGTTTTAAGTAAAAAATAACTGCAAATAACTTACCTGAAAAATGAAGGCGTCTAACTTTACACCAAAAAAACCATACTTTTTCCCATTGTTGCAAGCACCCGATGACGATAAGGTAGATATCAACTAGAAGCATGTACTTAATGGTTATAAAGCTTACTTTAACACAAAAATAATAAAGCACTAGTCGAAAAGCAGCAATCAAATATAAATAGACCACAATATTAAAATTCAAATTAAAAACTATATAAAAGACAAATACTCTAAAAGCGCAAAAGATCAGAACCAAATAAAATGAATAACCATAATAACCTAAAAATCACACTAAAATTGCAAAAACTATTACTGTAAAATCATGAGATTACATCAATAATGCATATGCGTCGGAGTATTGCAAATGTCAAAAGTACAGTGTTTCCATGAAAATTTAGCTATGTTTTTAGCAGTATTATAGGACCATTTCTACCACGCGCATCCAACGATATTGGCGTTCCACAGTTTACTGTATTTTCCTCACACCTCTAGTATATGATTGACATAACGAAACTAACAATAATTATAATTAATGTAGAGTAATAAGTGATTCGTGAATTCTAAATAAAACAATTATTATATAAAAGTGTAAAAGGAAATGTAATTTATTTCCCTATTTTCTTCTGTAATATCTTCAATTATTATGTTTAATTTCTATAAATAAACCAACTGGTTAGGTGAAACATTGTGATATAAGATTTTATTTATGTGTCCTATGCGTACACTTTAATATACAAAACACCTGGAACATTCTTTAAATAATTGTGGTCGTAGAAATTGTGTACATAACTCGTTTGAAAGTGTATTTTATGCACTTGCCAAATATATTATCCATACAGATTAATCAGACTATTTTTTTACTTAACTTCAGTACATCTCTTACTACTAAAACTATTTTTATCAATGGAAAAAAAGGGCCGTGTTCTCGTATGTTTTGACGCATTTTCGGCCTCAGCCCATCGGATCCCCCTCTAAATATATATGAATTTTGCTTAGAATTGCTAATCCTACAATTCTCTATTCGTGCTTGCTGACTGGGAAAATAAATACCGAAAATCGTTACTGTCTCCTGGACTATACAATAGATGATGATGAGAACTTCACAACAAATACACTTTTATGAATGGCTAGTTGGGGATGTGGTTTACCCATACTCGAACCCGCTTCCTCAGAGGATTCCCCGACTGGTGATAAATTCCGAGGTCATTATTTCCCTATTTTGTTTTGGTTTTAACAAATAATTATCTTGGGTATTCTATTTTCTCTCACTCATTGGTAATTTCTGTTGTGTTTAGTATCTGCAAGTGCAAGAACAACAATAATTTGCAACAATGGTAAATTTTAGATATTATATTCACATAAACTTAAATCTAAATTACTAAACTTCATAAAAATACCTGTAAAGTAAAACCCTTACATGAATACAGTGTATCACTTTAGTATCACTATCACTTTGGTGATCCAGTATCCAGTACTTCCTGTAGAAATCAAAATAAAAACAAAATTATATAAGCAATATTAGTCGAAGAGTTAGATTCTGAGATACAAGTACGTACAACGTAGAGTGGGAACCTAAGTTAGGCGCTTTGAGTGGCGGACAGCCGACGAAAGTAAAAAAGCGCTTCTGCCAGATTGAACAAAAAATACTCCAATTGGACTTTCAATAGTTTGTGCAATACATTTCTTGTATCTATAAAACGTTAGGTTTAAACATTCTTGGGGGGGGTAATTACCCCCATTACCCCCCATATATGCACCCCTGGATAAGAACATACTATAAACTAATAAACAGGTATATAGTACAGGACTTTCCCTATTTAAATTCTATTAGTTAAAGTGTGTTTTAGAATTAGATGCTCTATTATAACACCTATATAGGTATTTTTGAGAAACTTTTGTGGTAGATTTGTTTTCAGGTTAAGATTCGTCATTTTTTCTATTTCTACTTAATTGCCGAGATTATTGCTGATCAGGGTTCAGTTAACAACTGAAAAATTCTATTTTTTTTCTATTTCTCTACATAGTTTCCTTGTTGATTTAAATTTTTTACATAACGAAGAACTTGTTTTTGGATACCTTTTTCATATAATTCAAAAGACTTGAAAATTAAACGCTTATACTAAGGAAGATCTTCAGATGACTTAAGACGTAGTAATCGATAGAAGCGATGTCTGAACTGAATAGCGGATGATTTACCTAATAATTGTTATCATCATAGGATGAAGGTGTCCAAAAATTCTTCGTTAGTTATGCTAAATTTTTAAAAATATGTACAAAAAAATTGTATGCAAATTCGGGTAATCAATGTCCTATTGACACTTTAATAACTCAATAAACTGTACTGTTCTATTTTTTTGTTTTCAGATATTTAAAAACAGTGAAACATCGTTCGAAAATATACAAAGACAGACCTATTCATCCCTTGGACTTAGCAGTGTACTGGATAGAATACGTTATTAGACATAAAGGAGCACCCCACTTAAGGGTCGTTGGTAAAGACCTGCCCTGGTATCAGTATTACTGTGTAGATGTTGTCTCGCTTTGGATTGGATTATCATTGTTCCCGCTTTATATTATTTATAAATTATTTTCCACGTCATGTTGTAGAAATAAGAAGAAGAAAATTAAACAGTCTTAGAATTTTGATGTAGTTTTTGTTTACCCTTTTAATTTTAATTTTTCTTTACTAATATGTGGTGTGTGTAGACTTTCCCTATAAAGTGGTTAACAATGGTGATTTTATAAACTTTTAAAATTCATATCTTCTAAAATATTAATTTTATCAAAAAAATTAATAGAATCTTTTTTATTTGTAATAAATACCACTGAAAAAATTTGATATTTGATGGCTGTATTCTAGGTTTTAGATAATGCAGAACTTTTTATGAAGAATAACTTTTTTTTCTAAAATTAATAATAAAAAAGTTTTCCATATGATTCCAACTTAGGGGGACATACTGTATAATAATATTTGGCATATTTTTAAAGAATTCTGAGAAGCAAATTTCGTTGGAATTGTTTTCTGCACTGATGCGCCGATTCATCCTAGAGTAATGAACAATAACAATAATTTCAAGGTTATAATATGAACCACGATAATTTTCTATGAAGCTACTTGTTTACAATTGAAAAAACTATCTATTTACTAAGCCTACGATGAACTTCGCCTCTTAATTTAAATAATTATGTAATGTTTAAATTGGCAGGTCCGCATTTTTTATTTTTTATTGAAACTTTTTAAATATAAATAAATTGTATAATTCATTATAAATTACATATCATCCAGTTACTGCCAAAACAAGATAAGTTACATTTTTATAGTTTTGAATAAATAATGTTTAAAACTTTAACATTTGAAGAAAATCAGGTAAAAATTAAAAACTCCGTTTTTACTTAGGAACTGAATTTTAATACAATTGGATATTAAACAGTAGAAAAATTTATCATAAAACTTAAAAATTACCAAAGTATTTAGCAGAAAAAACACTTTTTCTGTGCACTTATCTTCTTTTGGATGTATAAACACCTGTTTTTGTTTCATTTATCCTGCTCTTCTAAAGGAAGTTTTTCTTTATCAGAATCTTCAGCTGCTGGCTCTGGAACTAAATCTTTTACCTCTTTAGAGGTAGACAAGGATTTGTAATATTGATAACATAATTTCAGTAGGTCTTGTTTTTACTTAGCCGAAATGGACCTACATCTTTTGTACGCTTTTGTAATTTTAATTTCATTTTCATTAAGAGGACGACCTTTACCCAAAACACGTAGGTCCTTATACACAAAGTAAAATTAAAATAATTTTTAAACCTAACATAAATGCATTTGTCTTGTTTTAGCTGCCAATATGATTCTTGTAATGCACTTAGTCTTTTATGTGCACATGCGTATCAACGTATACGTTTAATACAATTATCTGGTTCTGTCAGTACATAGTTTTATTTTATTTTGGCGATACCCTAAATCCCAATAAACCCAAAGTAACTATTTTTAAAACACTTTGATTCGGTGGTGACGAGAAGCCGGTAAAATCTCAGAATTGCAGTGCAGTGTTCAAAAGATTACTTGTAAGCTTGGCACTGATAATACAACGTCTGGAAGTACCCTAAAACTTTCATATATACACTTAATTTTCCTTGGGAATTATACCACCATTTTATTAGTTGTCAAGCATTGTTGCCAGATTGTGTGCTGAGTCGCTTGGCTCTTATGATAATATTATTAACTGTTTTTCCAATGCGGAATATAGTCGATAGTTATGAAGTCATTTTTTATTCATATTCCCCTCCTTTCAGTAACCTTATTTTAAAAAAGTAGTTTAAAAATCACGTGCAGACACAAGTCGTTGCCCACTGCTTTATACAGTCCACTAATACATTAAGCTACGCAGTTTAGGCCGTGTCCTGCACAGCAAGTTTATGTAGCATTTCAATTTTGACTGGCAGCACTGTGCAAAAACCGGTGAAGTCCAGGACTTGACCGGTTTAGGCCAATGACATATATAGATTAATAGACTGCTCATCCATTTATAAACAAGACGACGAAAAGCGGGTCATATTGCTTGGCTTGCCGAGTGCTCACCAGGCAGAATCGGTCTGGCCCAAATGAGTTTAAAACACATATTTCATCAAAGTAGGAATTGAATAAAAAAAAAAATATCTGTATGTTTATTTCAAGACAGGAGCTTGCGTTAGGTATTTTAAAAAAGGATTTTGAGTCGTAACGTCTAGTTTCCCAATTTTCAAAATATTTTAAGAGGTCTAACCAATTTTGAACATAGATATAAACAATTTTACACTCATGTGTATATAACTAACTTTAGACCATGACTACTGTATAGTGGCACTATTCGGACACTTGATTATTCTTTTAAAATTTATTTCGCATTATAAAAGCAGATATTATGCAAACATTAAATGAAATTTTTAAAGATTTAAAGTTAGTAGCTTTTTCACATTCTAAAGTTTGTCCCTTCAGACAATTAAGGATTATTTTGGCGGTGAATGTGAATGATTTGATGAATAATAATAAAATTCTACCAGTGGAAATCTGATCAACATCATAGTAAAATGGACTAGGTACAAAGTGCAATCTTAGTTGACGTCAAGATCCGTGTACCTTAGCATCGGTAAGAGGGAAATAAAGATTCTGACTTACAATCACAAAAAGAACGTACAACTAAGCTTAGTCGATGTAAGTTAGCTCAGATTAGTGGTAAAAAGAAAGCGACTATTAATAAAAAGAAAAGTAATCCAGCTAAAACAAGAATTATGGCTACTGTCTTTAATAATGATATGTTGCCAGTACTAGTAGAATGTTAAGTGTTGAGTTATCTTCTTCAGGCAATGGATGTACGTATGCATAATTTAAAATGTTTGGTTACTTATTATTATTATGTTTAATGTGTTTTTGCAGTTAATGAACATATATCTACTACTGAAGCAGATAATGAAGATTTGTGTGCTGCTGAATAGCTTTGCTTAATTTACAAAACTTTGTTTAAAAGCAGAAAATTGGGATCGATTGTTCAACACAAGTGAAGAGTGGTGATTTAGTTGATCAGTTTTCAAACAGAATTGTTAGTGCTAAAGAACTATCTACTTTAATAGGATTGCAATCCTTCCAGTTATTAGCCACCATTGTGGAATTAGTAGCAGAGTTGTTTCTAAAGAATAGGAAAAAGGAGATCAGTTATGTCTGTAAAGGATCAAGTTATATTTACTTTTATGAAGTTGAAAACTGATATGCAAGATATAATGTCTTATTCATTTTATTTGGAGTGAATGAAACTTTTTATCGTTAAATTTTTTAACAGTTTTTAATAAAACTGGTAGAAGTTCTTAGTATGGTATAATTCGGCCTTCAAAACAAGAAATATTAAATAATGTTCCTCTATGTAAGTAAGAGTACTACTACTTGATTGTACCGAAATCCCAATACAGCAAGCCAAATGTTTTTGTGGTAGGCTAAAAAATTACTCTGACTACAAAAAGAGGCATACTATTAAAATATTGACTGGAGTGTCACCTACTGGTCTCATTACTTACAAAAGTGAAGCATATGGTGGTAAACTTCAGAAATAGACATTTTTTAACAAAGTTCAATACTTGAAGTGTGTGAATCATTTCTCGATAGTAAAATGTTTAACAAAGGTTTTCTTATTGGAAACATAACAGAAGCTGAAGGTATACAAATTATACAGTCTGCTTTCCTCAGTAAAAAAAATCAGTTCAGCCATCAAGAGGCTTTACTTAATGCCAAAATTGCCAGAGCTAGAATTCACATAGAAAGAACCTATCAAAGAATAAAAGTGTTTGTCTCTCTGTATTGGTACTTATGTCCGTTTTTCTTCTATTTATATTGAGTTTTTATTATACGATATTTCTCTGTATCTAACTAACTTTTAAAATGTACTTGTAAAGCCCAGATAGCTCTAACTCGGGTTAGTTATGTAATTGTATTTATAATAAATACTTTATTATTATTAATATTATTATTATTATTATGATTAATTATAATTCGTAAAATAATTATAAACGTATTTACCTTGTACCTACTTGTATTGATACTTGCGTGAAAAATGAAATGTTACTTTTTATATTTCTTTAGCTGGTCTTACAACCCTTTATAGAGCAATTCACCATTTAAATTTAAAAACAAAACAAGTTTTTATACTCAAATAATTAAAAAACTTAAAACAGAACATAAGTATAATTAAAACTAAATAAAATAAAAAATTCAACAAAATGTCCGACTAAGTAATGACAATGAGAACAAAATCTCAACTAGACTAAACTTTCTTTAAAACCGGTCCTGTGAAAGGTTTGTTTACCAGTGAGCACTCAAAATTGAGACAAAACACAAACATTGCATGCACTAGACAAAGAGAAAACATCTCCCAGTTCGACCCACTTTTCATCGTTTTATTTACGTATGGATAAGCAGTCTATTTAAACTATATATGTCATTGGTTTAGGCAAAGTATTAGAGCATAGGCAACCAATTATACACCGTAGTGTCCACAATTAAAATGCTAGGAGAGCTGCTTTATGCACTGGAAGATGCAGAATTTAAAACTATGCAATAATATGAACCTAACTCATTTTTTCCAAAAAATAGACTTGGTCAGTTTATGCATTGGACCCCTCAATTGTTAAAACAGTAGGGCATGAAAGTCTTAGATTTTTGGTACCTAAATTTTTAAATTTCTTACCGAAGGAACGTTCTATTTCAACTTATTCACTATTTTATTTTAGGAAAAAAATTAAATCGTTTTTATTAAAAATACCAAGGAAATAGATTTATAATTTCTCTGATTTGTGAAAACATACACACTGTAAAAATGCGAGTATATTTTATTGTTGGTTAGAATGATGCTCTTAAAAGCAAACCAGACACCTCGAAAATTTGTAATTCATTCTGAGCCTTTATTTTTAGTCCGATTTTTGTGAAATTTTCAGGAAATACCAATAATAACAAAACTTAGGGTGCAGAAATCTTGAATTTTTTGAAAACCTTCGAAAAGTATCGTTGCACAAATTTAAAGATCTCAATATTGCCAAGACACATAATATCACGAAGTTCCAATGGAACGCATATAAATACAATTTTATATTAGAAAATCATTAAAACATTTTTGCTTTAGCGAGAGGTCCGGTTTTTTCTTAATGTATAAAAATAAAATAAATAAACCCAACTCCACGACAGGTTTGACTTTGTGGAATTTTTTTCTTTGTTTGTGTGGATCTTTAATATGTGTAAATAAATTAAAATGTTATGTTCAAGTAGATTGTAATAATTTTATTGATGCAAATAACAATGGCCTTCAATTTAAAGTTATTATAACTGATTGCGGTCCTGTATATGTTCGAAGATACCTCTACCAAATCAACTAAATTAAGGAATTATACAGCCTACAGCCTTCTTTCACGGTATACAGTTAGTTTTAAACTGAAAGGTACATTTATACCAGTAGACGCTCATCTTCCAAACTTGAAACCGCATTCTAGTGACCTCTTGAAAATGACAACATGAACTCGCTGTGGTTACTATTTTTGTTGCGTGTACTGATAAGTGCTACAAGTGCTTTTAGGATTTTAATTGTTTCGCCGTTACCATCAAGAAGTCATTATATACTTTGCCGCGGATTGGCTGATGGATTAGTTAAATCTGGACACGATGTGACTTTTATTACACCCTTTGAGTTCAAACCTCCAACGGGAAATGGGACTTTTAAGATTGTGGTTGTACCTAACTGTATGGCTGAATGTAAGTATTATACAGAGTGAAACAAATTCTATAATTTAATGCATTGGCAGCTCGTGGGGTGGTTCACAGTGACAGAATATAGGTATCAGTACAGATGTGTGAAAAAACTTTCAGTGTTTTAGAAAGTTTATAATGTACTTTTCTAAAACACCCACAGTTTTTTACCTATATCTGTACCGGGATGTATATGCTGCTACTATAAACCCCCAAAATTTTGGTCACGAGTCGCCCCTGATTTAATGTAAGATGTACATATGCGCATAGGTTTTTATGGGTTTATTTTACTTCAGAAATATTTTTTAATACAAATTATATAAATTATATTCATAAATATAGATATACATACTACATATTACAAAGAGGTTTGTTTATATTTTTAATAATTATGGGGGGTTGCAGCGACCATAAACGTTTTTAAAATTAAAGGGAAGGTTGAATAATTTTTTATTTTATTTTTTAAACAAGTTTTATGCTACTAAACCTTAATATATAAAAATATAAAAAAATCTTTTAAAAATCTATAAAAAATTATAAAAATATATAAAAAAATTTAAAAAATCTATAAAAATGTACAAAAAATGTACAAAAATGATATATCGAGATTCAATAAAGATACAAGATGGACACAACAGTGAATATTCTAAAAAGAAGTTTGTGTTGAAGTATGTGAACCCCTGAAATTCCTTATAAATTTGAAAAAATAACAGCAATATTTAAAAAGTAGCGAATTATCGGCCCACATCTTAAATTTCATTAAAAGAGAATTATTAAATAAATTTTATATATTAAGTGGCCAAGCAACGCTATGTTTGTTTCTCGATTTTGTAAAGGCGTTTGACACTGTGCGTCAGTGCCAGTTGTTGAACATTTTGCAAGATCTTGTAATACGAGGAAAGCATTTGAAATGCTTCGGCTTCCTATCCCACAAATCGAAAACAAATTGTCAAAATGGGATCAATGATTAGTGAAGCAAATTTGGTAAAATACGGATGTCCACAAGGTACGCTTTTAGGACCAATGTTATTTGGGAAGTAAGAAGGTTATATCTACAAAGTTGGAAAGAAGTTAGATAAATTACAGAGGCAGATATATACACTAGTTGAAAAATTAAGGGATAAAAAAAATCTCGATTTTTGCGATTTTTCGAGTGGCTGTATCTTTGGTAAAAATGGTCGTACTTGAATGAAAGAAAAAGAAATTTGAAGCTTGAAGTGTCTAGTTAATGGATCTTGCAATAAAAAAAATTTTCAACCAACAATTTGCTTAAAATCCTGATGAATATCATGGATAGAACAACGCGATCCTTCAATTTCTTCAAAAATTCACTCGCATGAAACAATGAAACCGGTTGATGGATCAGGTTGAAATTTTGTAGGGCTTTCGGGGGAATAATGACCTGTAAGATGCACACTCAACATTATTAATTTTCCGAATATTTTCAATGTGGCTCGTGATTTTCTAAAAAACCTCAGAAAGACCTGTTTTCCGAAATTCTTCAAAGTCATGCTAGGGATGAAAAAGAAATTTTCTCGTGAAAGAACATGCCAGAACCGTATAGAGAATGAATCAAAGTTTCCGAAACCCTCCTTCCATTTTCTGAGCGGCCATTGGTTCCTGAGATATTGACGAGAGAAGAGGAAATTACGTATTTTCGTTCATTTTCTGATAACTCAGCAAGGAAGGCTCATCTCGAAGCAATCAAAAAAAGGAATTGAAGCTAACTGAACCACCTATCCAATGCATATAGTGGTTATGTCGAAAAAAATTTTTCAAGTCCGGACACTGGAAATTAAAAAAAAAAAAAATTCAAAAATGTTCTATCCATGATATTCATCAGGATTTTGTGCTAATTGTTGGTTGGAAAATTTTTTTAACGCAAGATCCATAAATTAGAAACTTCAAGCTTAAAACTGCTTTTTTTTTTCATTCACGTTCGACCATTTTTACCAACCACTCGAAAAATCGCAAAAATCGAGATTTTTTTGATCCCTTAATTTTTTCCACTTGTGTACGTACGTTTTTTGAGATATTGTGTTAAAAAAACATGTTCCGTCAAATTATTTTAATACTTTAAAAGTTTTGAAAATGTAAATATACTTAATTTAGACATGGATGAATGTGAGTCTGATAATCTAAACAAATATCTGAAAATGAGGAACCCAAGGGGCGTTAAAACAATTTAATAAAACCTAACTGAAAAACGAAAAATATTATCAACCCAAAAACGAAAAATAATATCAACTTAAATTTTTTTAGTAAAAATCAAGCTCTATAAGGGCAAGCAGCTTTTTGAATTTGAAAAAATCTGATTAAAAATGTATTTAAAATTATATTGCATCCCAGACTTTATCTATGTGTTCTAAAACCAATTGATCCTATAATCAATAAATTTTTAAATAGTTCTCTTTATCTTATTGCCACACGGTTATATTTAGACAAAAATAGGCGCTATAAATGTCACTTATTTACGACTCCATTGTCTAAAAAAATTATTAAATATTGGAAACGGATATTTGAATATTTAAATATTATTATTTCTAATAACATATTTATTAAGGGACTTCAAAATGCCTGTCTATATAAAATCATTTGGTACGTATATCCCTTAAGCCTGTCCATATCAAACTATTTTGATTCTTTACCATTTACGCTTGTCCATATAAAAATACAGGGTGTCCCAATGAAAAGTAGCCCGTTTCCATTTGATAAAATTTGGTTACGGTGAATTTAAAAGAGGAGATTTTTAAAAAACACCCTGTATAGGTAATACATAATTTCTGTGTCACTGAAGCAAAACATAGCTAAATAACACATATCAGCAAAAACCTCACATTTCTACGATTTGTTTAAAAGTTATAAGCTCTGAAAATGGGCTACTTTTCATTGGGACACCCTGTATTTGGGTAAGTTGTCTTATAAACCTACTCATGTAAAAATAATTGAACCCTTTATTCCTTAAGCCTGTCTATACATAAACATTTGAGCGTTTTACCCATTAAGTCTGTCCAAGTAAAAATTTGACCCCTTATTCCTTAAATTGACCTGTGAAAAAATATTTGTGATCTTTACATTTTAAGTCTGCCCAGTTAAAATGATATTTGGTCCCTTTTATTTCAGTTTTAATACAAATATCAAATTCAGATAATATTTCCATTCTGGAGTTCAGTAAAACTCGTGCAAAAATCATCGTTACTTCAACATTCTGTTATTCGTTTAAGATTAATTATTATTTTAAAATTGTTTAGCCTACTGAGCTTAGATTAACTTAATTTTAATTAATATATATTTTTTCTTCATTTCTTGAATTTTCTACACTTATGTAACGTTTAAGAATGGGAGTAAAAAAAAATAGTTGATTTCAGAGTTAGATGAATGTGTAGACGAATGAACAGATATCTAGAAAAACCAGTACATTTAAATAAATAGCTAATAATAATCAGTATTAAATGAACGGCTCTTAGACAGTTTTTCTTTCATAAACCAAAACTCAGATACCTGGCTCTTTAGAGGTGCCAACTACTTTTTAAAGGCAGGATTACAAACACCAAGAGATAAGTATTTCCCCTCGTAAGAGTACTTGCAGTATTTTTGAGGTATGAAAATAAAGTCTACAGGCAATACAAGGGGGATTGGACCGCAGGAGTAGAAAAATATTTCAATTGAGAAATCGGATATGGGAATTTGTGAAGAAAAGATCATGAACAAAAATTTACTCAAGACGATAGACTTTTGTGAGAAAAGAAAACAAAATACCAAGAACCTGCGGACAAAGAATTGGAACGACATGAAAACGAAAGTACAGAATGGACACCAGAAAAGAAGTCAAAATACCAAGAAACCAAGGACAAAGAATTCGAATGACATGAAACCGAAAATACTAAAAGGACACTAGAAAAGAAAGCAAAATACCAAGTGCAGACAGAACGACATAAAGAAGAAAACACTGAATGGATACCAGAAAATAAAACCAAATACCAAGAACAGACGGGCAAATCACCAGAAAAGAAAACCAATTACCAAGAATAGATTAACAAAAAATCGAAAATGAAAACCCTGAATAGGCATCAAGCGCGTAGCTAGGTAGTTTTCTTGGGGGGGGGGGGGGGTAACACTTTTCACATTATTGGTGAATGCGCAGCGTGTTATCTTAGAATATGGTACCAATGCAACGTCTAGAGTTCATATGTGTATTTCCAGAAAAAAGAATGAGTTTTATAATGAAGTTTCTAATTTTTTATATATTTATACAGGGTGTTTCAGAATAAAGTACCGTAATTTTGGGGATTCGTAGATCTTAATCAATTATAAAGAAAAGCTAAATATAATTTTCCTATAAACGTCCTAGTTTTCATTCTACACGGTGATAAAGTGAATTTTATAAATACATATTTTTTAAATATCTTCCCTTACAGTAAATATTTTAACTTAAAAATATGTATATGATAGGTAATCGTTATTATTAGTTAACACACTATTTCGATAAATTACCTTACCCATTAACGTAGAATAAAGGGCTAAAGAAACAATTTTATTCAAAACAATTTGAACACCCTATATTTCATAAATTTTAAGATTAATAAATATTTCTCACGCCATTTGTTACACAAAAGGGACTTCTGGTTGATCTTTGTAGACTGTTCCATTTCTGAGGTGATAGAACTGATTTATTTTATACAGATTGTTTTGAAACATGTCTTAAATATGGCTAATTCTAAGTTCAATTTATTCAATTTTGTCAAATTCAACACACTGTATATTATTTTCGCATAAAATTCCTTATAAATTTACCTATCCAACGATACCAACAGGTCCCAATAGTGCGTAATTGATCGATAGCTGTTTTATTATTGGAAATAGGAAAAACAAATTAATATAAAAGTTGTATGACCATGTTTAATAAATATTCTTAAATATAGAGGTTGGTCCATAAACGAGGGGCTGACCAAACTTATACATTTTTATATTTCGTTACTCTAATTAGCAAACCTCGTAACTCCATTTTTGCCAAATTCATATTTTCATACCAACTTGTAGAGAAAAAACCTCTATTACATGTTTCAAACCTCATAAATCCAGAATCCAGAACTTAGAATAATATTATCGATCAATTATGCACTGATGGGACACCCTGTATATGTGTTATTGACTAACACATTGGTATTGTTACATGGCCAAATTTATAGGGAATTTTATGCCAAGATAATACACAGCATGTTGCGTTTGAAAAAATTCAGTAAATTGAACTTAAAATTAGCCATATTTAAGACCTGTTTTCAAACACTCTGTATAGAAAAAAACAAGTTGTATCACCTCTATTCGTTAAGCTTAGTATTTTATAAGTCTGTATATTAAACAATTTTGAAATTAATGTAAACCTACTCAAATTATTAAATTTTTTAAAAACATTCTAGTGTTAAATACAGTATTCCCAAGCCATTCTAAAAATAAAATTAAATATAGGGTGTTCTATTTAAAAAACATACATTTTTATTTGTCAGGCAAAAACGCAACACCCTGTATATCCAATAACACAAATTGAAATATTGAATAATTACGAACTAATGGGACCCTGTATATAAATTTTAATTTTCAATTTGCAGGAATATTATTATTTTAGATGACAATGTTTGAGAAACTCTTTGTTTTATTGTATTTATTTTATCTCTCTATTTTTGTTCAATATAACGTTTAAAAAAATATTGATGTTGACTATGGCTTGGGGGGGGGGCAATTACCCCCATTACCCCCCCCCCTTATCTACGCCCTTGATAGGCATTTAAATTAGCATTAAAGGGACGGCTCTTAGACAGCTTTTCATAAACCAAAAACTCAGATACGTGGCTCCTGAATAATAGGAACTTTCTCACCGGTATCTCCCGATGGCTTCACAGAATAATTCGGTACAGTTTTTGGATGGAATGTACTGGGAGCGCGACGAAACATTTAGAAATTTCATATCGGTCCAATAAATGGCGAAGGCATTGTTGACGTAGCAAGCTCTGGTGTAATCGCGAACATTCAAGAAATGCCACTTATATGTATAAAAGGGCTGTTTTACTGTTGGAGCGAAGAGTATCTTATGTGAGCAGATTAATATTGTTAATATAAACTAGTATATAAGGAAATGTAATATAAATTATTATATAACAGTGCGTTATTTGATGAACAGTGCATTATTTTTTTTTCTAATTCTTATAACACTAACTCATAGGTTAGAAATGTGACACAAAAATTGTTAGGAATAGTATATTACATACTGAGGTGGGAAGAGTTTCATTCCTGTCGTGAGATTAGTTAGTTAGCTATGATCTCGAGACAGGAATGAAACTTCCCACCGAGGTTTGTATACTATTTTATTTACAACCATCATATTTCGATCAAAGTTAATAAATCTCTGTTTCGTTCTGAACATACCTAAAATATTACATTTAATGACAAATTACCAAGCGTGCGGTTTTCTCAGAATAATCAAGTAGATATATTGTTACCGTGATTACGGGGTAAACAACTGTCACCAATATAAATAAATATTAAAGTCGGATATTAAATATCAATAAGTAGTTTGTTGTATTTTAGTTCATTGTTGTTTTTTCTTGTTTGCCATTAAATAGGTATTATAAAATTTGTCAAAAAATGTATTATTTTTTAAATATAAAAAATATTCATCTAGAATAGATGAAATGAGGGCGGAAAGTAGAGGTGTGTAATGTGGCACTTCCCAACCTTCAATGACGTTAGTAATGACAGCATTACATATATGGTTGTAAATAAATACATTTTTAGGGAAAACATTGTTAGGAAGAAAATTGTTAGGAAAAAAAATTGTTAGATAAAAATTGTTAAAAAAATTATTGAAAAAATGTGTAAAAAATGTTTTGTTTTGTATTATATTTTTTTGTTTCATTTGTGTACTTACATATATACGTATTATTATTTTTATATTCTTTTTGTTTTACTTTCATTCAGGTTTCTGAGAAAGAACAGTTTTTAACTGATCAACAGTCCTTTTGACCGTTTGTATGTTTTTTACAATGTATAGTTTGTTGGTAAATAGTTAATAGAAGGTCAATAAAATTTATTATTATTATGTGTAAAAAATTCGTCGCAACATTTCTGGGGCTCCGACACACCCAGTACATTACACGAAAGGCCTGGTCGCTGAGAAGATCACTCCTTACTTCCGCTCGGTCAGTGATCTTCGGCCAAAGTCAATTGCCTCAAAAGACGAAGGGACACAAGGACTACCGTTTTCTGCAGAACTGGTGTCTCATCTATACCGTAGTGATGTCTCAGATGATAGTAGAGAACTCGCAATGCGTTGTGCCTATAGATGTACCCAGACACAGCTTGCACCGGGCAAGCGGACAAAAGATGCATCAATGTCTCCGGGTATTGTTGGCATGTTCTGCATCTGACATCCGCCACATGTGTAAATTAAGCGCGGTATACGAGAGTATTAATTACGCCTTCCTGGCAAGCTAACAAGAATCCTTATGTCTCAGACTTCAGATCAGCTGATCGAAGAAAGGAGAAAGTTAATTCCCGAGATAGATTAAGATCTTCTATGTTCCTGTAAAAAATACCGTGTTGGGGTTTGCTGATATGATCTTCCAAGAGCAGCTGTTGCTCTACTGTCCTAACTAGACGTTTTACTTGAGAGGGTTCCAACCTTGTAAGAGATTGGTTGTCATCTATTTCAAATTTGAGACCTAATTCATCCGCAGCTTTTTTATTAATATTATTATTATATAGGGATTCCTTACTTTTCTATACTTACACGTTTAATTTTTATTTTCAGTACATGCTGAAGGAGATTATAACTATTTCCAGTCAGAACAAATGCATCCTTTCTACAGTGTACCAATGATCAACTCCCTCGGAGAACTTGGGGTGAAAGCAGCTTTTGAAAGTGAAGCTGTAAAGAAATTTCTTCAATCCAATGAGCAATTCGACGCTGTGATTGTGGAGTCACTTTTTACAGACGGTTTGGCAGCATTTGCTTGCCATTTCAATGCTCAGCTCATATCACTGAGTCCTGTGGGCTCTGTTCAATGGGTTAACGATGTTATCGGTTAGTTATTTTGTATTAAAAGTATATTTTGTTATGTAACGTATATTTTTAGGTAATCCAACTCCACCATCTTATATACCAAGCATTTTCTTACAATTCAGCGAGCATATGGACTTTTGGGAACGGTCTCAAAATTATTTGCTGAGTCTAATAGTTTCGCTGAGTCATAAATTTCTTACGTATCCTAAACACGATGCCTTAGTACGTAAGCATTTTCCGAATTGTCCAAGTGTGGAGGAAATGAATAGAAATGTTGCTTTAATTTTGGCAAATTCGCATGAAAGCATAACGCCTGCATCGCCCAGAGTTCCCAACATTGTTGATATTGGAGGATTTCATATTAGCCCTTCATGTAAGTTTTTAGTATCATTGTTTTTTATTAAAAGGTACTCCAAACTGTGCTAAAATTAACTTTTCTATAGTAAATAAAGTATCTGATATTGTGCTGTCAGTTATGTTTGAAGTTTAAAACTAGCCTTATTTTGAGAGCGCTCCTTGAAGTAAGATTGCATAAAGGTCAATACGCCATAAAATGGCACGAAACGTTTTTGATAAATCTTGACTGTCTGTGACGGTGACGGTATGTATGATGGGAATAGTATTTTGACGTGTCGTGACATTACCTTTTATTACGTGACGCTGATGTTCCGTACAGTGTGAATTGACCTTAATAATGGTAAAATGAATTTTAACAGATAAACATCTCAGTTAAATAAATATACATCAATTACACAGGCCCGCGAAAATTTTGTGATCTAGCCATTTTATTTTTTTTTTCACCTATTTACAACTTCTATATAGCTAAAATAACCCCCTTTTTATTCTATGACATAAACTTTTTTTTGTAAACTAAGGGTATTATCTCTGAACATCACAAACAAATTAATTTGAATTCCTTATTTTTGTTCAAAACGTTGAGACGCGTTAAAACCTCGTTTCAATTTGCGCATTTGTAGGGAGATTTACCGCTACTTACTAGAATATTGTTGGGGATTCCCCGAGACTCGAATTATTCAGAAAAGAGGGCGATATATTTAGTATCCCCGTGGTATTGAGACAGGCGTTGTCTATCGAATTCTATCGGTGTTTCGTTGTGCACTTTCTATTAAAAAAATGTCTAGTAAGTGTTGTAAAAATAGGCCTGATGACTTTTGTTATATTTGTAGACACTTTATAGTGAAGAAGTTTAAAAGAAACATTACTGATTTCGTAAAAAATGCATATTTTGCATATTTTAAAGTCAGACTTGGAGATCAAGATAAACCTTGGGCGCCACATGTTATCTGCAAGATTTGTGAAGAAGCCTTAAGGTATTGGTTTAAAGGAGCAAGAAAAGCCCTACCGTTGGGAATACCGATGGTCTGGAGAGAACCTAAAAATCACATTGACGACTGCTATTTTTGTCTTTGTGATATTAAAGGTCATAACACAAAATCTCTAAAGTATATTAACTATCCTAATCTTTCGTCTGCAATAAGACCAGTTCCACATGACGCTGATATACCTGTACCTGTTTCATCTAAATTATTACAGTCTATCGAATCAGAATCTTCAACAGATTCAGAAATTGACATTTTTGAGCCATCTACTTCAGGAACCCGTGAACCGCAGGTATTTTCTCAAGTAGAACTAAATGATTTAGTCAGGGCTTTGGGACTTTCTCAAAGAAAAAATTTAACGCCTGGCTCCAAAAACGTAATTCGGAAAAGCCCAGTTGATCCCGAGAAAATTTTATTACCCCCTCTACATATAAAATTGGGGCTGATGAAACAATTTGTCAAAGCTCTAGACAAAAATGGTGGTTGCTTTAAGTACTTGTGTGAAACATTTCCGGGTCTCTCTGAAGCTAAATTAAAAGAAGGCATCTTTGTTGGGCCACAAATAAGAAAGTTGATGAAAAATTGAGATGGTTATGCAGGAAGACGAAAAAGAAGCTTGGGCAGCTTTTAAACAAGTTATAAATAAGTTTCTAGGAAACTACAAAGACCCTGAATTTGAAAGTATTGTTGAAAACATGTTGGAAAAATTTAGAAAGTTAGGCTGTAACATGAGCGTAAAAATTCATTTTCTACATGCTCATCTTGACTATTTTCCGGATAATCTTGGCAATGTCAGTGAAGAGCAAGGGCTGCGCTTTCACCAGGACATAAAAGAGATGGAACGGCGATATCAAGGGCACTGCGATATCAAAATGATGGTCGACTACTGTTGGATGCTTAAAAGGGACCGTCCTACCACAGAATATGCACGAAAAACAACAAAAATAAGCTTTTCCGGAAAAAGAGAAAGATTTTTCAAGAAAACGAAGGATTAATGTATGTTATTTTTTAACTACTTCCCCGGTTTTATTGTTTATTCTCTTGGTTTATTATTTTCTTTTTTATCTATGAATATATTTTTACTTTTTGCATTCTTGTAGTATTTTGTTTAAAAACCTTACGTGATAGAAAAAATTTGAAACCAGCGTCACTGAAATGCCCAATTTCAGTTGAAAAGTTCAATTCACATTTTACAGAGTATTTAAACGCAGGCCTGTGTTATTTATTTAGAAACAAAACCTCTGTTTAATCCTTAGACTTACCTAGTCTAAGGTTAAAACGGACGTGTATTCAGAAAAATATTATGTAAAATGATAATCTTGTTTATATCAGCATTTATACAGTCATTTCTGCTAGATTTTCGTTTACTTTAACCTTTTTTTTACTATATATTGCAGCTGAAAACCTACCTGCTGATTTACAAAAACTATTGGATGGAGCAAAAGATGGAGTAATATTTTTCAGTCTGGGATCCCATGTTAAACCCTCACAAATGACATTAGAAATGAAGCACACTCTGATCAAAGTGCTGGGATCGTTGAAACAAACCGTGTTATGGAAATGGGATGATGATAATTTTCCCGATGGGAAACCAAAGAACGTCGTTGTAAGAAAATGGTTCCCTCAACAACAAATTTTAGGTATATAATTTGATTTTAAAAATTTTTAATATTACGTACGACTTCCACCTCACTCCAATTTACGTTCGTCTCTAATAGATTTGACTTAGATGGTCCGCGTTTAAATGTCCGTAGCTGTATATATTTCTGTAGACATTGTAATGTGTGTATCTTATAGTGAGTAACGTTAGAAAAATTGTGTCCCAACTCTAGATTTGTGTCTTAGATTTTAATTTTAATTTTTGCGTGGAGGCTTTACCTGAGGTAATGCTAAATTATTGTAAATAATCGGAAATGCATTGCTGCCTTTTCGTTTAATTTTAATTAAAAATTAATCTTAAATATGGATTATAGGTGATACGCAATTTTTGGAAAGTTACATGTATATGTATTGAGCATATAAGTGATGGATATTACAGGTCGATTGATGTTTTCTCTGTCTTCACAGAATTATTTAGATCAATCAATCATAGATTTGAATTTTTGATAATTTTTCTAAACTGTCAATGAAGTATTACAATAAGTTCAGAAGGTTTAACTTTCTGTTACAAACAAATTTGATTAAAATTTGTAGCTGTAGAAATTGCAAGCAGCTATTGGGATATATCTGTTTAAATTTAACAAAAACAATTAGGGTTAAGTTAAAAAACACACATTTATAAAATATTTGAACATACTTCATATTTATATGAACTTGTTGCTACAGGTATTAAATATTTATTGCTATTAAATAATATAATATATATCAACTGGTTGTTTTATGTTTTTTTTATCCATTAGAGGTATTGCAAAATAGAATAAAACAACCTGTTGGTCAGAAGGAGATAAGGAATATTCCTGGGGTCAAGCTTTTATTACTTTATTTCCAAAATTACTGTGTTTATATATTTTATATAACTAATTTTACTTATCTAATGTATTTTATTGAATGAAGCAAATTAATATTAATTATATTATATAGTTTTTTTAATATAGAACATAATAACTATTTGACATTGTCTCATTCTAGCTCATCCTAACACTAAACTCTTTATCACACATGCTGGGTTACTGAGTTTGACAGAAACCATATATATTGGAGTTCCTGTTTTGGCGATGCCGGTTATTGGTGATCAGAAATTAAACGCAGCAAGAGCTGAGTTATTAGGAATTGGAAAATCACTTTTGTTTTCTGATCTTACTGAAGAATCTTTCGGTTCTGTTTTAAACGAACTATTAACAAATTCGAAGTAAGTAATGAACTATTTTTTTTTTTCGTTTTTGAGAGATAAAAGTTTCATACAAACTAAAATTATAAAAAATATAAATATAAAACTTATAATAACAAATTGATTCCACAAACTTAATACGTTAAAATATATATTTTTTTTTAACTTAAGATTGTTACTAAAGAAATAATAATTGTATAGGATCAGATACTAGATGGCCTTGCATTAAAATTGTCTTAACTAGATCCAGACTCTTCTGATAAAAAAACTGGAGGCATCTTTTTTCAGACAGATAGACAATATCTACCAGAACGATAGTCTGAGTTTCTTTTAATAAGTACTTACACATGTCTTATAAACCTTTAAGAGGTGTAAATCCCAGTCTGACGCTACCATATTGAAGACGGATGGTTGACGGCTCATGTGATATTGGTGACTTAATGCATCACGATAATGACAATTAAATCTCGCCTATTATAATGGTGTCTTTTACTGCAATGTTCAGTACATTCTGAGTGTATTCTCACTTTCTTCTTTTCCATATCGATAAAGAAAGACACAAATATGCTCAAGGCGTTCTGCTAGCTCCAGTGAAAAACGCTATAAGTAATTTTTTGGTTATATTCATATTGGTTTGACGTAAAATTATTTATTTACAGATACTCAGAAACGGTGAAACACCGCTCAAGACTCTACAAAGACAGACCTATTCATCCCTTGGATTTAGCACTCTACTGGATAGAATATGTAATTAGACATAAAGGTGCGCCGCATTTGAGGGTCGTTGGTAAAGATTTGCCGTGGTATCAGTATTACTGTGTAGACGTGGTTGCGGGTTGGACTGTACTAATATTGAGTCCTATTTATTTTCTTTATAAAATGATTTCTACATCGTGTTTTAGAAATAAGACGAAAGTTAAGAAATCTTAAAATTTGAGATAAGTAATTTGAGGTAGCGCGTTTTTGTGTGCATTTTTGTAAAAGATGTGAATATTTGTGATTACAGTAAAATAAATAAAAATAAATCAAAAATGTGTTTTATTTCTTTTACCATCATTGTTTTCAATATCTCTAATAAGAAACTCATTTATAATTCATCTGATTTTGAAAAGTGCCAATATTTAAACATACTTAAATATATTGCAGCTTCTGTCAAAATATGGACATGGGCAAGTCAGCTAAAAAGAAAATTTAATAGTATATTAAAGTATAAGTGGATATAACGATGTGGATTCTCAAACGCGGCATTTATTCCATGGCAGTGGACGTCAGAAAGATGCTTCTTACTTGACAGATGAGCAATGCTACACTTGTATACATCATTTTGAAATAGTGGTACGACAAAATCATGTCATTTTATCTTTTCTGAAAAAATAATGTTTTTACATAAAATACAAATTATAGTAAGAAGGAAATGCCATTATTATTATCGACCTACAAATCTTTAGTTGTGATACCGAGAAGATACAAACATAAAATTCCAGACAGACTAAAAGACATAACCAAAAGTGCAAATCCTAAATTTTTCGATAGCGTAGAATATTACGTTCACAAAGCATGTGCTGTTCTAGAAGATAAGTTAATCCTTGATATCCTTCATAAAAAAGGCAACAAAATGAATGAATGCGAAGTCAAAACTATGGTTCAAGCGATTTTATATTCTTTAGAACATTGTGCTTTAGTTCTAGAAGTCACATTTCCTTTAAAACGTGATAATGGTAAGTATGAGATGATCAAAGGCTACAGAGCTCAACATAGTAAACATATGGAGCCTTGTAAAGGAGGATTGCGGTTTTCAGCTGATGTAAACTCTGATGAAGTTAGAGCGCTATCAGCATTAATGACTTACAAATGCGCTTGTGTCGGTCTTCCTTTTGGTGGATCTAAATCTGGAATTAAAATCGATCCTAGGGCCTATTCTGTTCCTGAACTAGAAAGAATTACCAGAAGATTTACTCTAGAATTGATGAAAAAGAATTTTATTGGACCAAATTGCGACGTACCTGCCCCTGATGCAGGTACAGGTGAGAGAGAAATGGCTTGGCTTGCAGATACGTATTGGAAAACTGTTGGATATAAAGATATTAATTATTTTGCTGTTACTACTGGAAAACCAATCGCATTCGGTGGCATTCATGGAAGAACACCAGCTACTGGAAAAGGTATCTATTACGGTCTTGATTTCTTTGTCAACCAAGAAAAATATATGAAAAAACTTGGACTTTCAACTGGACTCAAAGACAAGAGAATAATTATTCAAGGTTTTGGTAACGTAGGTAAAAACTCAATGAGGTATTTACACAGAGCTGGCGCCAAAGTAATCGGAGTACAAGAAAGAGATGGTAGTCTATTTAACGAACAAGGAATAAACCCGGATGATCTAGAAAACCATCTCGTTAAAACTGGCAGCGTGAAAGGTTATTCCAAAGCTAGTAAATTTGATGGCGATTTACTAACCCACGATTGCGATATTCTTCTTCCAGCGGCGACAGAAATGGTTCTAACATTAAAAAACGCCGACAAAATTAAAGCTAAAATTATAGCTGAAGGAGCAAACGGACCTACAAGTCCAGCAGCAGACGCAATCCTCCAAAAAAAGGGTGTACTGATTATCCCTGACTTCTATTTGAATGCCGGAGGTGTGACAGTATCATATTTCGAATGGATTAAAAATCTGAACCACGTCTCGTTTGGTAGATTGAGTTTACAATACTCAAACGATACTAACAGGCATATGCTTCAATCCATAGAAGATTCCTTAAAGCAAAAGATGAGCGATATTTCGATAGAGCCCAATGAAGCTTTTTGTAATAGAATGAAACTTGCTGGTGAAGAGAATATAGTACACGCTGGTCTACATTTCACAATGGAAAAAACAGCTCAACGTATCAAAGATATCGTTGATAAATATAATTTGGGACTGGATTTTCGGTCAGCTGCTTATATACATAGTGTAACGAGGATTTTTAATTCTATTCACACAGCTGGGTTTTAGTTAATTATTGCATATGCAGAGAAATAAATATGATTTATTTGATTTTGTAGTATTTTTATATTGGGATTAGGGATGTTACGATACCAGTAAAATATCGATACCGGTATCGAAAAGAGTATCGGAACCAAAGTATCGATACCGGTATCGAAAGGACATCGGACCAAAATTATCGATACCGATATCGGGAAGAGTGTAGAACCAAAAAAAAAAGGTCATACCGCCGACATACCATAAAGTGATCCTACAATATACTTTTGTATGTATTGTAATGTCAAAACTAGTAAAATATTGAAACGAAAGTAGTAGTATCGAAAGAAAAGTATCGATACCAGTATCATATCAGTAGTATCGCAACATCACTAATTGGGATGGCCATCACTTATAAATTAGAGTGTCCAGCAGGTAAAGATCTGCATTGCTATGTAGGTGAAGTCTGCTACATGCTTGCCTGCCAACCTTTCAATTTCTTCTTTCACTGTTGGGGTTCCAAAGTCTTGATGAAGATCTGCATTGCATACATACCAAGGAGCCTTCATCATGTTGTACACTACTGTGTTTTGATGATGATAAATATATTAAATCTAAAGTTTTTGGTACTGATGATCTCAATATAAGTTATTGCTGTTTTCTTCTTTTTTAATACTTTAGCGTTATTTTTTAGCCAATGAATCAACTGCTGAACAGAGAAGACAGTTCGTTATTTGGTTCTCTGTGAGAGAGAGTGCGTAGTATTAAAAATAGGAAAACGAATATTTTCGTGATATAGTATGAATGATAGTATTAGCTAAGGTATTAGCATATCTCAAAGGATTCTTCTGATGACAAAAGCCATTGGATAGGAAATGGAAACCCAAGCTTTGGTCAGGTAAATGGTGTATTAACGCCTGTATGCACCGTACACGTTTAATCCAGATCAAGGGTTTAATCGCGTTTAGTACCATAGCTAAATATGGTTGAATACGAGAGCTCGGTTTGTATAAATGGTAAGGTTGATACCATTGCGAACTCTCTGTATCTTCAACTCGCACCTATTCATCGCGTAGACGAGGAAGTTTAGTGGCCAACATCGTAGAGATTACACTATGCATATCCCTAAGAAGCAATGGACAAATTTTAAAATTCTAATATTTTAAAGCGAACGATTAGGCAAATTTATACTACCAGTTTAACATTTTGGAAAAATATGTTGCCTAACCTAGTGTTAATTGCATCAAAATGGCCGCACCACATACTTTGGAATTACTTGATATTCATGCTCCTGTCAAAACTATTCGCATAGGTAAAAAACCATATGCGCCATGGATTACTGAAAACATAAAATTCATGCAAAATCTAAGAGACAAAGCATTAAGAAAATTCAAAACTTATAGTACTCCAGCTAATTGGTCTTATTACAAACAACTTAGAAACTTTACAACTAATGCAATAAAAAATGAAAAAAAGGCATATCTCCGAAATAAATTTGCAAATTCAAATACTAAACAAACTTGGAATGAATTAAAAAAATTAAATATTACAAAAAATAAAAATAATGATATTCCTACTCATTTAAATAATGTTGAAATTATTAACAATTATTTTACTAGCATCGAAAATAAACAACCGAATTATGACATAATTAGTCACTACAATTCTCAAATAAAAAATAATATAAATGATCCTCTTGCATTCACGCTTGTTACAGAAGAAATTGTATCAAATATAATTTTAAATATTAAATCTAAAGCTTATGGTACCGATAATATGAATATCGATATATTGTTACTTTTCTCTCCTTTTATAATTCCTTATATTACAAATATTATAAATCAGTCAATTTTGTCCTCTTATTTTCCTTTGGAGTGGAAATTCGCTAATGTAATTCCGATACCTAAAATTAGCTCACCTACTGATCTAAATCATTTAAGGTCTATTAGTATTCTGCCCGTCTTATCGAAAGTATTGGAGAAGATTTTAGATAGGCAAATAAGAGAACATCTAAATAAATTTAATTTATTACCTATAAAACAATCTGGGTTTCGCAGTGGACATAGTTGTGCCACTGCCCTTGCTGACGTAGTTGATGATTTAATTCAAGCGGAAGATAACAATAAAATAAGTGTACTAGTTTTACTAGATTATTCGAAAGCCTTTGATATGTTAAATCATCAAATACTGCTGTCAATCACTCATTATCTGGGATTTTCTAATGCAGCTACTAACTTAATAAAATCTTTTTTAAGCGATAGATATCAAAGAGTACAAATAGGCAAAAACAAATCTCAAAAAATTAAATTAAAACTAGGAGTTCCTCAAGGCAGTATTCTTGGTCCACTATTATACACTATTTATACTAGTAACTTTCAATACTCTCTAAAATATTGTAACTATCACTTTTATGCTGATGATACGCAAATATACTTTTCTTTTAAATATGAAAATTTAGTAGAATCTTCTAATTTAATTAATAGTGATTTAAAGAATTTAGCAAAAACCTCGTCCAATCACCTTCTAAAATTAAATCCACTTAAATCGTCTGCCCTACTATTCTGTAAGGAATCTGTAAGAATTGCAGTACAAAACCAGATGCAACTAAAAATAGAATCTGAAATCATTTCTTTTAATAGCAATGGAAAAAGTTTGGGACTAGTTGTTGATAATAAGTTAAGATTTAAAGACCATATCACATCTAAACTAAAACTGTCATATTGTGCACTAAAAGCAATTTATCCCCAAAGACAATTTTTGGATGTTAACATAAAAAAAAAATTATGCGACTCACTTATACTATCGCTGTTTGATCATTGTGATACAGTGTATGGTTCATGTCTCGACGCTGCTGACAAAGCCCGTATTCAAAAAATCCAAAATTCTTGCATTAGATTAATTTACGGCATTAGACGTAGGCATAGAGTAACGTATAAACTTAAAAATTTGAAATGGCTTAATATGCATAATCGCCGAAAAATGCATTTTGCTTCTTTTATATTTAAAATTATAAAGTTCAAAACTCCAGCATATTTACATAAAAAGATTAAATATCGTACTGATGTCCACAATGTAAATATACGACGAAAGCAAATGCTTACCATACCTTCCCATCGTAAAGAAATATTTAAACGAACATTTTCATACAACGTGGCAAAATCTGCAAATAATCTAATGGAAAATAATCTTTTTAATATCACACTTTCTCCAAATAGCTTCAAAATGAACTACAAAAATCACCTACTTACTTTATGATGCTAACTCTTATTGTTGTATTGTCCTTATCAATTTTTTCTTTATTATTTAGGTTATCACAGATACATTTATTGTTATTTTGTTCTTATATTATCTGTTTTTACCTTAATTTTAGCGTGTTTAGTATTAGTATATTTTTTTATATGTCTCTTAAATAAGATTTTTTTTCATTTATTGTTAATTCAATGTTTGTTATTAGTTAAGGATAATCAGGCTTTAGCGGAAGAACAGACATTTTAGTTTAAAAGACTTAAATGCACTGAGCTAAATGCCATTTACTCAATGTTTCGTGTATAATTTATTTGTTATGTTTACATAATACTATTGAGTAATAAACGTATTTATTATTATTATACGAGGCAAGAGAAAGGTCCGACACGCCCAACATAGGGCGCGGCCATTTTGAACCCTGTGACACAGTTTACAGCTAAAGAATCAGATCGCTCACTCTGCGTCGGCACTTTTGATCTCAATGTTTCAGTTTATACACTGTGCAACTCGGATAATACAATATATGACAACCGCCTATAATAAAACGGCAGTCTTCTGCGTATCCTGAATTTGTATCCCCGGAGTGGATGTTATTTTGGAATTTTCAACTGGTTTGAGTGAGCTAACTGATTCTTTAGCAATAAACTGTGGTTCCAAAAATAATATTCACTGACACTGACAGCAACAAGCAAAATATCAGGTACGTTTTAATCATCCGCTTCTGCTTCCGGAATTGTCGGTTTAGTCGTTTTAACCTGTCAGATTAAAACAAGAAAACCGACAATTCCGAAGCAGAAGCGGATGATTAAAACGCACCTATTAAAAATATTGCGCCAAGATGTAGGCAACACGTAATAAGGGTTCAAAATGGCGGAGTTTTCTATCTCCTTTTAAAAGAAACTCAGAAAGCTGCGCAGTGCGACCATTCTCCGTATAGTAAAAGAAAATCAAAGTATGTGACCGTATAGTAATCAAGGTATGTGCTCAAATTATTGATTTTAACCTCCTACAAGTGGCCTGGACAACTAGTTCTCGTACCAGTGGCGTGCCTGAATATTTTTCCCAGGAGGGTATAATTATTGAATGTCGTTAATATTCCGGAAATAAAACTAAAACGTTATTTATAACGTTACATTAGGTATAATTGTGCTATACATGGAATTTTTTTTAGAATATCAAGATAAATTGAAATATGGCATAATATACAGGGTGCTGATTCGAATTTCGTTGAAACTCTTTTTTTTTTAAACTGATCTATTTGTTGTATCTTCAACTGTCTTTTCGGTATCTATATAGCTTATTAATTAGGACCTTTTTTGTTTTTCTGAGATACTGAGTTTACCATTATCTTTATATTATGACGCTTCTATTCTAATGTTACTTTGTTCCCTTTCGAAAAGTCTGTGACAAAAGCTGAAATAATTATTGATATAATTATTTGTTGTCTTCATGAACATTTCTGAGATAATCAGAGTACATAAATAAAATAGATAAAAATAGTTCATTTTAACGTATTTATTATTATAATTTTAATATTATGTAAAATTATTTTAAACCCTAGCAAAAAATTGTGTATTACCATGCACTCTATATGCAACAGATTTAATCTGCTGGACTATCTTATTAATATTACTGATAAAAAAATACAACACCAAAAAGGTTTTTAAAGTGTATCATGACCGACAAAAACAGATTATACGAGTCATGTTCCGTTATCACTACGCACAGCCCTGAATTAAATCTAACACATCACTCTATAGAATATTATAAAGTGTTTTTTACCATCAATTTATTAGTAGGTGTATTAAAGTTTATTGATTAAAACATTGGATTGTATTTATCTCAATATGGCTTTAACTATGCAAGGCGGTGTAAAAATACCTTTAATTGGATTAGGAACTTTTAAGGTAAAATTTTTATATTTATTCTTTTTTAGATTTGTAAAATTACTTTAATTACATTGGTGATATTTATTAACAAATTTGTAATATAACAAAGATTAATACTACAATAGGTATTATTAGTGAGATGACGAAGAACTTGGAGTAGCGACACCAATTTGTCAATATTTGGTTCCATATTTTTCATCAGCAATCTTAAATTGCCGTGTTTTACTGTTGACAATATTTTTATTTTCTTTGTTAACTCCTCTTTCTTTAAATACCCGCAAATGTGACGTTGAATTATGAACGATTCTCTCACAAAAATGTCAATTCCTTGAAAAGTACCCTATATAACATAGACAAATCATATATTAGAAGAATGGAAAAAAGATGAGTAAACAGAATCTAAAATAATATACTGGGGTTAGCATTAAAAAAACATATGTTTGGTTCGTACACGAGCTATGCAACACCCTGTATACCTCCCAATAATTTTAAAATGTTAACCTCAAACATGTCCATAATTTTCCTAATACATTTTTTTAATATCTCTTTCAACAAGGAAGTTATCGAACTTTTTCACAAGATTGGTCCACCCTGTATGTAAGGCTTCTCCTCTTTACTTAATGATTCAAAACTATTCTGAGGTTAAATCTCAGATTGACATTTTTAATTGTAGTATAACCGTCATAAGAACTTATTTCCTTAATACGATAATGTGAATTTTTGATTTTTCTTGTTTTTGTAATATTTTTTGTTTCACCTATTTAGGTATTTAATTTAATAGGCTTAAGTAATTGAGTGCACACTTTTTTTAGTGTATATTTAATTTATGTCTCAATATATTTCTGTATACGTTTTATAATATGCAAATGTTATTTTCCATAATTATATAGTTTTTCATCTTCTCCTGTAATTGGGGATTATCCTGTAGATACTGTACAATAAATAATAAGACATTTATAGTATTAATTAAACTTTTCATCTCGTTCTATTTTAGGATATAAATGAGACTGAACTTGAAGCTACTCTTAACAAAGCTCTAGAAATGGGTTACAGGCACATCGATACCGCAGCAATTTACGACAACGAGCATGTCATTGGTAGAGTACTAAAAGAATGGTTTACAACTGGAAAATTAAAACGAGAAGACGTATTCATCACAACGAAACTTAGCTTCAACAAAAACCACCCTAATCTCATAGAAGAAGCCCTGAAAGAGTCTTTGCAAAAACTTCAACTTGATTATGTTGATTCATATTTGGTACATTTTCCTATTTACATGACAGGTCAACTGGGAAAAGGAAATTTGGAACCGCAACCAACGGACCATCTGGCAATCTGGAAAGTAAGATTTTTATTGAAATTAAATGGTTAAAACTTTACTAAATAAACTATGGAACGTATATTTAACAGATACTTTCAATATATCGTAAAAAGTAGTGCCACATTCGGCATATGCAGTAAGTACTGCGTTAAAATGAAAATAAATCAAAAATCCGACTCGAAGGACAAAATAAAAAAACTTAATAAAAAGGCTAGTTTGCAAGCTTTTTTTAAACACTATGGTCAAATATACAGGGTGGTCCATATTTGTGGAATATATTAATTATTGGCTTTATTATTACGTTTTGAGGAAAATCCTTGAACAGGTCGATTTTTATTCCTAAAATGACATTTTCTGAACAAAATTATTTATCTGCTTCTTTAACCCCTTCGGAGTAAAAGTCACCCCTTTAATTTTTTTAAATAGAAAGTGGTAGCGTGTGATACCTCATTTTAAAGGGTTTTTAATTCCCTATTCAGCAGTATAAGATTTTTTGTTTTTTGTACATTTATATTCAAGAAACATTAGTTTTTATTTTTAAAGCTTTTAACCAGCCCCCGAACTATTCTATTAATAATATTTCTATCTTATCTTAGACCATGTAAAAAATGGCAATAAAAAGTTAAACCGAGCCTTTTATGAAAAACTTTTGCTATTCTGCTACAAGGGAATAAGCAAGGAACATTTATTTACGATTATAATTTATACTATTTAATTAGTTCAATTTTATGAACAGTCGTTATGGCGTATTTATCTGAAACTCAGAGACTAGATATTTTAATAATGTTTGGTTGTGACAATAGAAAACGAACGCATAGGGAGGTATGTGAATTATTTAATAATAAATATCCAGGACATAATATTTCACAGTCTACAGTTAGCAAAGTAGCAAAGAAATTTCGTAGTATTGGACATGTGAAGCAAGTTCGTAACGCATGAAGAACCCCTGAAGTTGATGAGGATATACGATTAGATGTTATGATAGCCCTAAAGAAAATCCGCATAAATCTACTAGACAACTTGCTGTCGAACACAATGTCAGTAAAACAACAATTTTGCGTTTTTTACATAAAGAAAAGTACCATCCCTATAAAATTCAGTTAGTACAGGAGTTATCTGAGGACGATCCAGACCGAAGGCTACAATTCTGTGAACAAATAATGAACAGATTGTTACGGGTTTTATTCTACCTAAATCTATTCCAGTCTAAAATACCCTAATTTACACTATTCTAACTTATTCTATTTGCTAGCCTATCTTATTCTAAGCTACTCTAAACTAAACTAGACTAAACTACACTATTCTAAATTATTCTACGCTTAACTATTTAAATTATTCTACTTCTAATCTATCCTACGCTTTACTATGTACACTATTCTACTTCTATTTAATTCTAACTTACCCTAAGCTACTCTAATTACAAAACTAATCTATTACTTACCTATTCTACTATAACCTATGCTAATCTCTTTAGTTACCTTTCGATTTAAGAGTGTGCGGTATATAAATGTATACAAATCAATAAAATGGGTCCATTAAATAAATTCATAAAATATCCATTTTTATCAAACATATTTTGTAGTAAAATATAAAATAATGTTTTGTAATAGAGTATAATCTCACCTGGAGTATATTCAATAATAATTAATACCTTAATAAATAATTTATAATGTAAGTAAATATATTTCGCTACTTTGAACAATAACTCTAGCTCATTTAATTACTAAAAAGCTTTATTTTTATTGTTATTGTTTACATGTCAATTTTAACTCCTTCAGTTGTCAGATTCTTCTAAATTTATAAATAATGACCACATTCTTACCAGAAATTATCCTATTACCCTTTTGTAGTCACGGCCTTCTTGCTAAGACATTGACTTTTGTTGGCCATTTTGTGAAACTTCCTTCCTGGCCCAGTTTTTGCTTGGATTCTGATTGTGGCATGTGCCAAGATTTCAACTAGGATTTTCTAGGATTCATTCTTGTGCAAAAACCAGAGATTCCTTTAGACCGATATATTGTTAGTGATCTTTGTGATTCATACACCTAGTGGTGGATATTGTATCGGCTAAAAGTGTGAATAAATTAATAACTAAGAGGTCACATACCATCAAGGACCTCCTTGGTTCGCTCCTTTCATTAGTGCGTTCCTTCACTCGCTCCGATTTACAATTCTGAGTAACGCTTTTATTAGAGGAATACTTCTAAGGACTGTGTGCAAGTTCTCTCCACCTCTCCATATAGAATAGGGCTTCTCCACTTCACCGTTTGCGTGCTAGCAACATAGAACAGACAATTAGATAACCGAATACGAAGTAATTTTCATAGCGGTCTACCTACCGACATCAAGAGGAAGCTACCTAACTGGACATAGATCCTTCATTGAGTTCACTTAATCACAAGTAAGACGGTTCCTTTTTCTAACTCTATATTTCGGAGGGCCCCCATCTACTAACCAGATTAGGTTGTTTGAGACTCAGCCTACAACAAACAGAGTTAAATACCTGCTTAAATACTCAATTTCTTTTGTATATATACTTATTAATTGTAATATCCACCTACCGGGTTTTCTTTTGTAATACGAAGAGTACTCTACGTAACCGCACTTTCACCACCCACTTGAAGGGTTATATATTATAAGTGTATGTAAGTTAAAGGTAAGAATAGTTGTGGGAACGCCTTGTACATAATAATTTTCTTTTGTTCCTAATAATAGTCCACATTTCGGATACATGTAATTTTTTGGTTATAAATTTTACTTTTGACAACGATCGAGGCATCGAGGTTATAAGATAATAAAGGCCCGTTCACATTCTATCAGTCATTTTCTTCTCTCTATTTACAGGAACCCGACCCTGAGGTTACTAGTCAACCTGATTAGGGGAATTCGATAATTTGAACCCCTTTATCAGGCTACCCGTAATAAATTGGCGCCCAACGTCAGGCAGATGTGCAGTTTTTACAGAAAATACTTTTTTCGGGCGAAGCAACGTTTTACTTAAATGGTACTGTCAACCGACACAATTCTCGTTATTGGAACAGAGAAAATCCTCATTGGATAATGGAGACTCACACTCAGTTTCCTAAAAACGTGAGGTGTGGTATTATTGAAAATAAAATCATTGGGCCTTACTTTTTTGATGACTCTCTGACAGGTGAAGGATATTTATATTTTTTAACAAATTTTTTGGTGCCTCAATTACAAGTTCTGTATCCTGATAATAACAATCCAGATGAAACAGATAGAAATGTTTGGTTCCAACAAGATTGTGCTCCACTACATTTTGCACGTGGAGTGAGAGACTACTTGGATGAAGTATTTCCTAACAGATGGATTGGCAGGCGTGGAGCCATTGAATGGCCACCTCGATCTCCTGATTTAACGCCGCTTGGTTATTTTCTCTGGGGTCACTTAAAGACTCAAGTGTATTTAAATCGACCGGAGACTATTGACGAATTAAAAGAAAGAAGCACCGAAGAAATTGAAAACAATTTAATAACCGCATTGGTTATTGTCAAGAAGTTAACGGCAGTCATTTTGAACATTTAATACCATAAAATTATAGTATTATTAATAGAATAGTTAAAAATAAAAATTGATGTTTTTTGAATATAAATGTACAAAAAACAAAAAATCTTATACTGCTGAATATGGAATTAAAAACCCTTTAAAATGAGGTATCACGTGCTACCCCTTTCTGTTTAATTGTTTTTTTGTTTTGTTTAGTCATAAATTGTAATTTTTTTTCCTGATTTTTGTATTTTGAATTTGAGTTGTTTTTAACAAAAAAAAAATTGTTTGTATATTAGGGTTACCTATTTCAATAAACATATTTTTATTTTTTCATATTTTTCCGAGCTAGTCCCTTGACCACTCGAAAATTAAGGCAACAAACGTCCTGAGTTCGTGACATCAAAAAATATATTTTATGATTTCAGAAATTTGTAGTTCTTTTAAATTTTTTGGTAAATATGTTTTTTTATAGAAAATGGAAGAACAAGTAGACGCCAAGCGAGCCAGAACTATTGGAATTTCAAACTGGAATATGCAACAGATTGATAGGCTTATTAAAAACGCCAGAATTAAACCAGCCAATACACAAATTGAGCTCCATCTTTACTTCCAACAAAAAAAATTGGTTGAATTTTGTCACAAAAATAATATCGTTGTTGTTTCTTATGTGCCACTCGGATCCACTGACACTGGTGATTTTACCGCCAAAACCTACGGCAGGTAATTATTTTTTTCAACTTTTCTAACTCCTTCAGTAAAAAACAATTTATGTTTAATGTTCACAGTCATGACTATGTTGATAAATCATCGTTAATCTCACAAACAGACGCATCTCAAAAATGCAGTTGTTGAAAGAGTTTATTTTTATAGTTTTTTCTTCTCACAAAATGGCGTAACTCAAGCTGTAACCGTTATATAGTACTAGAAACCTTACTCAAACGCAGTTTATAACTTTAAATTGCTTTTTTGTAAAATTAGGAAAAATGAGATAGATTACTTTGTGAGATTGACGTCGAAATATTTGCGACATGTAAAGTGTTTGATTTTTATATTAAGATAAAATATTTATTTACTTTAGAAAACAGCTATGGTAATGCATGGCTCTATTATTGTTGGCGATAAAATAAATATATATATATATATATATATATATATATATATATATATTTCACAGGCAAATTTGAGAGAAAAATTAACATTAACATTTAAAGTTCTACTAAATAAGATATTTTTAAGGAACATCATTTTGCCAAATGTACTTCAAGAACAAGTGGTAACTAAAATAGCTGAAAAGCATAAAAAATCTGCTGCCCAAGTGATTTTACGTTATTTAATTCAAAAAGATATTGTCGTTATACCTAAAAGTATTAATCCTCAGAAACTGAGACAAAATTTACAAATTTTTGATTACAATTTGGATTCGGAAGATGTCAAAGCTATGGAAGATTTAGATAGAGATATGGACGGATTAATATTTCATCATGGTTTTTTGAATCAACAGTAAGTAGTTTTAACAATAGTTTGTTACCTACAGAATGTTTTTTTATTGACAAAAAATGCTTCACAACATACAGAAAAATTGACCAACTATTTTTTTTTTTAATTTCTTCGATATAATTATTTGTGAATCTATGTAATATCTTAAATTTGTATATCTTGAGATCATGACTATAGGTAGTTTAATACTAACGTTTTTGTTTTAGTGTTACTATGCATCCAGAGTATCCATATAAAGAATAATTTCATAAAAAGTATGGAGTCTTAATATTATAAGTCCAGCTATTGCATTCTTTTGTTTATAATATAAATAAAGGTTTAATAAAATTCAAGGTGTTTCATTATTTTTTTTGCAATGTGCTTGGCTTTAAAATCACTAAGTTGCCATTTTGTTTACACATTTTAAAGGGACACCTAGCCAAGTTCTTCCACCTACTTGGGGTAATGTTAATTCGGTAGCCAAATTCTTCCACGGTAACAAAGGATTCTAGGATTCTAGGAAAATAAAAATAATAATTTTCTATTATATAATACTCTCCTTAATTCACCCCCTTACAAGTGAATTTTTATCTGACAGGTTAAAACGACTAAACCGACAATTCCGGAAGCAGAAGCGGATGATTAAAACGCACCTGATATTTTGCTTGCTGCTGTCAGTGTCAGTGAATATTATTTTTGGAGTCACAGTTTATTGCTAAAGAATCAGTTAGCTCACTCGGACCAGTTGAAAGTTTCAAAATAACATCCACTCCGGGGATACAAATTCAGGATACGCAGAAGACTGCTGTTTTATTATAGGCGGTTGTCATATATTGTATTATCCGAGTTGCGCAGTGTATAAACTGGAACATTGATATCAGAAGTGCCGACGCAGAGTGAACGATCTGATTATTTAGCTATAAACTGTGGCATAGGAATCAAAATGGCCGCGCCCTATGTTGGGCGTGTCGGACTTCTCTCTTGCACCGTATAGCATTTAATACTGAATGACATTTGTCATGTTCAAATGGAACCAGTAATACAAACCTGTTTAATAATTAGGCATTCCAACGACCTGTCAAACAATAGGTACCAGTGGGAAATTCTTGTATATTTAAGGGGGTAGCGACATAGTCTTGCAACTTGGACGCTATTTTTATTCGAAGTAGTACTCGCCAAGCCTGCCAATTTATGAAGAAATGTATAGGTGGGTTTTTTAAATATTATTTTTATTGTGTTTGACATAAAATATTTAAATGTAATCCATTATTCATGATTTTACGTAAAGTAGATAGAATACACCATATGTCGCTACCCTTAGATATACCAAACCTGCCCACTGGTAATTCATTTGTTTGGAATGCCTAATACTACAGAGCTTGTTTTTTTTTATTTTAAATGACATAAATAATATTTTACATTAAATGACGTATTTCTCTTTTAAATCGTATAAATAATAACAAAGATATAAGTTAAAGTCCCTTTAGCATTGTTACTGTGCACATGAAGAGTTTCTATTGACACAAAATTCTTTAACACATTATATGCTGTGATACAAAGATTGTAACTTAATTTTGAGTATAACTAGATAGACCAAATAATTAAAACAGTATGGAAAAATAGAGGAAATACAGAAAAGATATTAAAACAAATAGATGTACAAAAGACATCACCAGATTTATAATATTTGACAAATATATATTGTATAATAACTGTGTATGTATTTTATATCAAAAATTACCCTGACCTTGATAAAGATTTCTTAATATTAGGTAGATACCTACAATTATGTGTTTATCCATATTTTGCAAATATAACACTTACTATTTTATCTTTAAGAGGACTGTAAACATATTATTGGAAACAAAATTGTGATTAATATATATCTAGAAGAATTATGTTTACACCATTCAAATTAAAAAGGAGCCGTTTAATACAGGGTGTACCAAAATTCTGTATATTGGTGAGATCAAAATAAGTCACGACTGTTGCGATTACAGAAACCACATAACGTAAATGTTCTATGAATATACTAAGAACGTTCTTCTTATGTTCTTTTTGGTATGTCTTTTCTAGAATGTTCTTAGGACATTCCTAGTATATACTTTGATAGTATATTCTAGAAACTATATACTGAGTATGTGCTTTGAACGTATATTCTAAAAAGTATATACTGAGAACGTGCTATAACATGACATTCTTAGAAGATACTAAAAGTCATATACTCAGCATGTACCTCATAGCTTACAGGTAAAAATTAACACCGAATACATGTAAATAACCCGTTTATATACATATCTAACTTACTAATGTTAAGTGGTCAGGCCAAAAAACATTCAGAACGTTAATAGAAGAGTAGAATGACATAACACATAACCTATAAATTTTTTGATCACGCTTGAGCTTGTAATAAGTATATGAATTAATAAAAATCAATTGCATCGTGTGTTCTATATAAAAATAAACAAATTTTACTATATTTTTAGTTTTTAGGACCTACAGGTGATGTTAGAACACAGGATATCTTAAATATTAATTGCCAGTGTGAATTTATTAATATGGTTAATATTAATGGCGAATTGAAACTAAAATACAGTGTTACCAGAATTACATACACACTTTCCATAAAAAAAATCCTGTAAGGCCAGAAATTGACTAAAAGAACTAGAAAATTAGCTAAAGGAGGACGAAAACTACAAAATGATGGTAAGTAATTAACAAAAATATATTTCAACATTTGTACAACTCTTTTTTTTGCTTGTAGAATGCCGAGTACAATTTTTAATGTTTTACGTTCGACAAAAATATTTAAAATATTCCATTAGTTATGTACACTTAATTTGTAGGTATATGCACCAAATTGTGATTTTGTTATTTTTTAGGTTCAATGAAGATCCAGTGAAGGCAAGAAGATGAAACTCAAGCAATCGATACAATAAAATATTGATTAGATAAGGCCAAAGCATTTGTAATAAAAATAAGCAGTATGAATTAACATTTAAAAAATGTTCACGATTTTCATTATATACACTTATTCTTTAATGTTCAATATTAATGAAACACCCTGTATTAGGATTTCTAGTATATGCTTTATTTAAATACTTAGTATAGGTATTTATTCTATACTGAACACATCTTCAAGTATCTGCATAGCACGTATAAACAACGTCCCGTAACATATACTTAGTATATTCTAAGAATGTACTAAATGCAAAAAAAGTATATTTTCATTTAAATACTTTGCATATACTTAGAACGAACTATAAAATGAAAGTAAGTACTTCTTGTATCTATACTGGACATATCTTCAAGTATCTGCATAGCACTAAGAATGTACTAAATGCAAAAAAGTATATTCTCAGCATATGCGTATTCTTAAGTATATACTAAGAATATGCTAAGAACGTATAATTGTTATCTAGGCGTTAAAAGCGACAGTGTTCTTAAAAATTTTAAGTCACTAATTATCAGTCCTCCTTTATAACTATACAGAACTTTTTTGACAAATTAACACTCATGAAACGCCTAAATAATATACCAAATATAGATTTTCTAAATTAAACGGTTGCAGAGGTATTAATTTTTTTCGAAATTTATGGCCCCACTTTAGACCTCCGTAACTCATTAGGGGTACAACTTAGTATAGAGGTAAATTGCGTTAAATCATCATATTTTGGGGTGCCCAACACGCACCTGGTCTGCGTCGGTACTTATGCGGAACACCCCGTATTATAAATAAAATTTGAATAGTTTCCATTATTTTTCTAGCAGTCTGTTTGGTTTAATTTTAAAATCTCGCAGTTTCCATTTTCTTAACAGGTTTTAAACCCAATATTTGGCTTATTAGTCAATACATTTTTCTATTTACACATATTAATAATGAAACAATAAAATCTAGTAATTTTTAATATTTAAATAAAATAATAGTTATAAATAAACTGTTTGGCATTTATAATCTTGTATATATTTTTTTAAATATAATTTAGATTTCCCTTCAGAAAGCCACTGGACTTAATAATTTTAATCTAATCAGATTTAAATTATTTGAGTTCTATAAACAATCCTGCGAAGTTTAATTAAAATAGTCCAAAGAATGATTGATATATTAATGAAAAACCGATTTTTTCTTAAACATTTAACTCCCTTTATCCTAAAAATAAAGCAATTTACAGAACATATTTTTATGTAATTTTAAACCTAGATCAATATTGATTTAACTTTAAGGAACTATAAATATATATATATATATATATATATATATATATATATATATATATATATATATATATATATATATACATATATATATATACAACTAGTTCCAATCGTTGCATGAAATGGTGTAGTACCACGTACTATACAATATATTTTTGCGCAGAAAAGTTTTAATTATGTACGGATTGTACAGTATAAAATGTTTTCATCTCTACGTGTTTTTGCAGTCTATGAATAGGTGTATTAAAGTTCGTTGGCAAAAAATTGAATTTGGTTGGACTCAAAATGGCGCTAACTATGCAAGGTGGTGTAAAAATACCCATTATTGGATTAGGAACGTTTCAGGTAAAATATTTATTATAATTACGTTATTTTTTTGAGTACCTGCATCATGTAAATAATAAAAGGGGTATGTAATTGCGCATTTAGTGGTGACTAGCACAATAATTTTATTATTAGACTGTTGATGGTTACATTCGACTTAAAAGACACACGAATTTCAAAAAAAAAATTTGCACTATTAGAAAGTAAAGAAGTTATATATCATGACAATTAAAAAAAATTTGGAGATTTTCCACGATTAAGCGAGAAATTTAATATTAAAATCTCAAAAATTGCACATTTTTAATCAAATATTTTGACTTATGTGTACAGGGTTGCCAAGTATTTTAGTATGTAAGAAGATATAATTAATTTGTAAACTCGTAAATTATTATACTTTTATGATTTGTTTATTTAAATAAAAATACCAGAATCTGTATCAAACATCGCTCCCCAGCCCCTAACACAGATCAAAGAATAATATCTGTTCATATCAGTTCGTACAATTGTTTTAAAATTAAACAGCAATCTTTTGTAAGTTTTTATAACTTACTGACATTTTACATGACATTTTTGAGTAATTTCTAGAAATACAATGTTACAAAATCATTTTATTTGACTCATTTAACATAAAAGTCACTCTAAATTCTTTGCTACCCGATCATACTGTTAATAAATACCCAGACTACTTAGTTTTTTAAATAATACGGGTAACGGCCGAAATAGTAACAAGTAATAAATTAATCTTGGCAACCCCACTTATTATCCAGAAAAGAAATGTCAAATATTAAAATTTTCAAGTTTTAGGTTAAATTTCATGAAAAACTCGTTTTCTTATTTAAAAAAAAATTAAATTAAAATATATAATTGATTTATAATTTTTTTTTCGTATTTCCAGACCTAACGTGAGTTAAAATCATACTTAATATAATTTAAATCAAAAAAATAAAGTAAAACTGGTCAAACAGTGTGTTCCTAAAGTCGAACGTAACCCTGTTGATTATTTGTTGTTAAAGGCTAGGCAGTAAACACCAATTGGTTGTGAGTTACAAAGTACAAATTTTATTTAATATTTTGTTATAAAAATATTTTGGTAATAAATTAATAAAGCATTAAAAAAATGTTTATATAAATAAACTACTAAACTCACTTTAAGTAAATTAAATAAATTATATAATTGATTTGTAGCTGTATCTAATGTTAATGCTAACCAAATTTTTTGATTTTTAATCTTTTTACACAATCCTGCTATATATTTCTTAAAACACATCTTTTTTTATATATATATATATATATATATATATATATTATATACAAAGAAATTAAAATTCCAATATAAGTAATAGGTACTTATGGATCTTATGAAATCTACCTTATCTTTCAGCTTATGAGAACAAGATAAGGTTATAAGGAAATAACGTACATGACAAAGATAAAATACCAGCTGACCTAAAATTATATAATTAACTTAAAATATATTGATTCCATGATATAAGTTATAATCAATCTACCGGTGAATCTAAATGATAAGGATTTTGTTTTAAAGGTTGCCGATGATTTTCAGAAATAATTTTGATAATAGAGGCAGTGGCGTCAACAGAAGGTACTGATAAGTACAATACATTTTATTTCATAGTCACCAGCTATTTATTTTTAACAATTTTCTTTGATAAAATAATATTAAGCAATTTATAGAAAGCTAAAGAATGGTTGAATGATTTTACTTTTACAAAATTATTACTATGTATAAAAAGAAGTTCAGAAATTTCAAGTGATCTATGTAATTAGAATTAAAAAGCGTAGACACCACTATGTTATTATTATATTATGCAATAACGCTTCTTATATAATGCTTAATTTATTGGCAATGAACATTATTTACTAGAGGATTTCTTATTTTATAACACTATTTTATACTTCTCGAAAAATTTGTTCCGTTTTATTATTTTTTGTAAATATCAATACCTAAGTTGGGCAAACTGTCCAATATATTATATTTAGTAATTTTATTTAGGTTTAATAAATAGATGGTGTTATTAAAACTTGTTGTATTTACATCTTAAATTTTATCTCTCTAATTCATTACATTGTAATTACTGTCTGTCAACTGTCTGTCTAGTGCCAAATGTCAACTCTTCTTATTGTGCGACTATTGTGGCCTTTTACTTACTTACATCCTAACATCTTGCTTTTTATAACAGGGAAAAACCCATAACAATAAACAAAATCATTGAATCTCAAGTTTCAGCAACTTATCTTCTAGCAGATATAATAAGGGTATGTATACCTACAATATTTTATTAATAAAACTATTTTTTTAGGCTACAAATGAGTCTGAACTCGAAACAGCTCTTAACGAAGCCCTAGAAATCGGTTACAGACACATTGACACTGCAGCCCTTTATGGCAACGAGCACGTCATTGGTAGAGTGCTAAAACAATGGTTTACAGCTGGAAAATTAAAAAGGGAAGACGTATTCATCACGACGAAGCTTGGTATGAACAAAATCCACCCAGATCTCGTGGAAGAAGGCCTGAAAGAGTCTTTGCAAAAACTCCAGCTCGATTACGTCGATTTATATTTGATTCATTTCCCTATTTACATGAAAGGCGAATTCGGAAAAGGAAATATAGAACCGCAGCCTACAGATCATCTGGCAATCTGGAAAGTAAGATATATTCTTCCAAACCTATTACGTGTCCAAATCCAAACCATTTCAGGTTTTGTTTCTTTAATGGACTCTACTCTTAGCTCTTATAACTCTTATTTCTTATTCTGTTTCTTTTGTCTCTTCTGTCTTTTCTGTCTCTTCTATCTCTTCTATCTCTTCTATCTCTTCTATCTCTTCTATCTCTTCTATCTCTTCTATCTCTTCTATCTCTTCTATCTCTTCTATCTCTTCTATCTCTTCTATCTCTTCTATCTCTTCTATCTCTTCTATCTCTTCTATCTCTTCTATCTCTTCTATCTCTTCTATCTCTTCTATCTCTTCTATCTCTTCTATCTCTTCTATCTCTTTTATCTCTTTTATCTCTTCTATCTCTTCTATCTCTTCTATCTCTTCTATCTCTTCTATCTCTTCTATCTCTTCTATCTCTTCTATCTCTTCTATCTCTTCTATCTCTTCTATCTCTTCTATCTCTTCTATCTCTTCTATCTCTTCTATCTCTTCTATCTCTTCTATCTCTTCTATCTCTTCTATCTCGTCTATCTCTTCTATCTCTTCTATCTCTTCTATCTCTTCTATCTCTTCTATCTCTTCTATCTCTTCTATCTCTTCTATCTCTTCTATCTCTTCTATCTCTTCTATCTCTTCTATCTCTTCTATCTCTTCTATCTCTTCTATCTCTTCTATCTCTTCTATCTCTTCTATCTCTTCTATCTCTTCTATCTCTTCTATCTCTTCTATCTCTTCTATCTCTTCTATCTCTTCTATCTCTTCTATCTCTTCTATCTCTTCTATCTCTTCTATCTCTTCTATCTCTTCTATCTCTTCTATCTCTTCTATCTCTTCTATCTCTTCTATCTCTTCTATCTCTTCTATCTCTTCTATCTCTTCTATCTCTTCTATCTCTTCTATCTCTTCTGTCTCTTCTGTCTTTTATGTATCTTCTGTCTCTTCTGTCTCTTCTGTATCTTCTGTCTCTTCTGTCTCTTCTGTCTCTTCTATCTCTTCTGTCTCTTCTGTCTCTTCTTTCTCTTCTTTCTCTTCTGTCTCTTCTGTCTCTTCTGTCTCTTCTGTCTCTTCTGTCTCTTCTGTCTCTTCTGTCTCTTCTGTCTCTTCTGTCTCTTCTGTCTCTTCTGTCTCTTCTGTCTCTTCTGTCTCTTCTGTCTCTTCTGTCTCTTCTGTCTCTTCTGTCTCTTCTGTCTCTTCTGTCTCTTCTGTCTCTTCTGTCTCTTCTGTCTCTTCTGTCTCTTCTGTCTCTTCTGTCTCTTCTGTCTCTTCTGTCTCTTCTGTCTCTTCTGTCTCTTCTGTCTCTTCTGTCTTTTCTGTCTCTTCTGTCTCTTCTATCTCTTCTGTCTCTTCTGTCTCTACTGTCTCTTCTGTCTCTTCTGTCTCTTCTGTCTCTTCTGTCTCTTCTGTCTCTTCTGTCTCTTCTGTCTGTTCAGTCTCTTCTGTTTCTTCTGTCTCTTTTATCTCTTTTGTCTCTGCTTGTTTGTTTATTTGATATCCAACCTAATGGTATGCTAAAATGGGTTTGAGTACTGAATTTATCTAGTAACTAATTATAAAAATACGATCATCTATCTTCTAGCAAGAACATTTGTATGCGGAACAATATATTAACATCCTTCATATGACTTACCGTAATAAAGGGTTACTTTCTTTCTTTAGAATTATTGTCATGCAGAGTTATATCAATATCAACGGTGTACCACCATTTCAAAGGTATCTGATAAGTGTAAACCACTATTGATTATCGTCTTTTTCATCAAAAACCATCGACTCATTCTTCTTACTGTTATTTTGATTGCCTCATTGTTTTATTTGCTGTGAAATAAAGTAAAAACAAACTGAAGAGAAATTGAAAAGACTCTACTTACGCTGAGCTGGATTCAAACCAGCTATACTCATTTTTCCAAGATAGTGCCTTGACCACTTAACTATTGTAATATTACTTTCTTCCATTCTTTAAATAATTATTATGTCTTCTTATAGAAAATGGAAGAGCAAGTAGATGCCAAGCGAGCTAGAACCATTGGAATTTCAAACTGGGGTATACACCAAATCGAGCGGCTAATTAAAAACGCTAGAATTAAACCGGCCAATACACAAATTGAGCTCCATCCTTACTTCCAACAAAAAGAATTAGTTGAATTTTGTCGTAAAAATAATATTGTGGTTGTTTCTTATTCTTCTCTTGGTTCTCCTGGGACTGGTGAATATCTCAACAAAAGATACGGCAGGTAATTACTATTCCCATATTAATTAGGTTAGAAGTGATTAATATGTAATAGGAATAAACTAAAACCGAGCCGTGTCGTATTCCTACATTGATTTTGTAAAATACAGAGAAAAGACAATCGACAGCTTCTAATATTGACTTTTTACATACCATTTTTGGTAGAGATCTAGTTTAACAAAACTACATGCCAGACCTTATCACAAGCTTTGCTAATATTAAAGGCTATAATACAAGTTTTACCATGGAACTGAATGGAATTGTTCCAAGAGTGGGTTACAAAAGCTAGAAGGTTTGCTGTAAATCTATTTGAACTAAAACTATATTACCTATCATAGAATACTTCTATATACCATATATTTCGTGATTTTACCTTTACTTATGAAAAAAAAAGTTCATTTCAGCAATAAATATATATTTTATTGAAGTTATTATTATTATTTTTATTCTATCCCACAGTATTCAAGATATCAATTTAACTATTTTTTTTTAAGAACTATCCCTATGCCAAATATACTTGAAGATCCAGTGTTAATCAAACTAGCAGAGAAGCATAAAAAATCTACTGCGCAAGTGATTCTACGTTATCTAACTCAAAAAGATATCGTCGTTATACCGAAAAGTATTAATCCTCAAAGACTGAGACAAAATTTTGAAATTTTTGATTTCAAGTTGGATGCAGACGATATCAAAGCTATGGAAGGTTTAGATAAAGGTGCTAAAGGAAGGATATTTCATCATAGTTTTCTGCATCCAAAGTAAGTAGTATCGATGTTATTTTAGTTTTTTACTTATAGGTAATAAAACATTAGTACATATTTGTTTGTTGGTTAGATTTTACGTCTAAATAATATTCAATACTGAATGCCATATAGATAAAGGACAAAAAGAGTTTTTATTAACACAATATGCGCTTTGCACTATATATCTACAAATAGATCGATAGCAGAACATATTTTTGAGTCTCAGTAGTTAGATCAAATGATTAAAATAGTATAGAAAAGTAGGAAAAATAAAAAACATATTCTTTTAATGATAAACTTAAAATAAATATCGCAAATACAGAAAAGAAACTAAAATGAGGATTCAAAAAATAACAATATATTTAAAATACTCGATAAATACGTATTGTATGTTTAATTTTATATGAAAAATTTCCCTGACCCTGGATAAATATTTATCAAAACAACTAAAGGCATATACTTATGCTTTTCTGTTTATCAATCTTTTGTAAATATAATAGTTTTATCTTTAAGAGGTTTGTAAACATAAGTTAAATTGGCCACAAAATTATGATTAGTATCTATTTAGAGGATTTTTTAAAACTATTCAAAATTAAAGGATATGCTTCATTTTACAATATTTACCTATTAGTAAGTGTATTTTTGAATAAAATGCATATTTGAGGAGTCACATTATATAGACAGAATAGAACATTGTAACTTTATTTATTCATTTCAATTTGTAAAAATGTATTAAACATATTGAGTACGGCCTCTAATGTGATTAAAAGATAATATTTTTCCACTTGAAACTTGAAACATTTTTCCGTTCTTTATTGTCAACAAAAATATTAAAAAAATTCGAATTTTGCAATTATTCTCAAATATCTTCTATACGGTTAATTTTAGAGAAAATATGTACAAAGCAAAAATTAAAGAAAATGATATGACATATTCGAGAAATTTTCTTCTCCAATAGTAGCAGATATATACCAAACAATTTCTTTACTTATACATAATTGCTATCAATTAGTTGTTAATTATTATAGAGCGTCAATTTTTAAATGTCAATACTGAGATATATATAATTACAATTTTCTAAAGTTCTGGACTTTAAACATACTCGTATAGGTATAAGTAATTGTAAATCTATATATTTTAAAATAGTATATTATGATGAATGTAGGTTCTTTACTAATTACACTTTTTGTTTTAGAATTACTGATCATCCAGAGTTTCCATATAAAGAGTAATTTCATGAAATACTGTAATGTAATAATTGAATTAACTAAAAATCCAGCTAGCATAGAATATACATTGTTTATGTTTATAATATAAATAAAGTTTAAGTAAATTTTATGGGGTTTTCATTATTTTTTCGAAATCTGTTTAAATTGGTTTAAATTTATCAAAGGTAATACATAAAAACATTTAAATGATATAACTATAGAGACTGCATCATCTCACTGTGTTCTATGTAGGTACATCACGAAAATTAAAAACCTTTTTAGGAAACAAAAAAACCATTCATTGATATACAGGGTGTTTCTAAATTCATGCGACAAAATTCAGGAGGTGATTGCTCGTATGAAATTAAGATGGTCTTTCCTATAACAACATTTCTTCAGCCCACCCCTTTCCGAGATATCACCCTTAAAAGGCGGTGACTAAAATTGAGTTTTTATTTTTTTTCTAAAATTTCAGTAAAGCTAGAAACTTGAAATTTTGTAATTTTTGTGCACTCGCAAAGGACTAACCACGAGTATTTTTTTCAATATTCCTGTTACATTATAGGGGGTGAGATTAGCAACCCTTACTTTATATCATATCAAAACTTTTTGTCGAGATGAAGTTTTATGAAATAAAATTATAACTTGAAATCCTTGTTTTAGTTAAAAATTGAAAAAATACCCGTGCTTAGTCCTTTGCGAGTGCACAAAAAATACAAAATTTCAAGTTTCTAGCTTTCCTTAAGATGTTTTCTTAATATTTTATTTATTTCCTGTTGCAGCTTAGTTAAATCAGGGGTAATTATAATATTGGTGCCTTTAAGTTTTTTACATTTAGGTACTCAAGATTTCAAATTTGGTGAAGCGGGATAAAAGTTCTAATTTTATTGGTTCTTTTCCTGTATTGCCTCCCAGTAAATATAGATCACTAATAACACTGCTGTTGAGATTAGTTTCTAGTATTGTATTAAGCTTATTGCATTTATTTTGAACTGAAACCTCTTCCGGTGTTAAATTTAAGCCGAAAATCACAAGATTATTCTTTTTTAAATTTCTTTCTAAATTTTCTATGGATCTTTTTAATCCAGTATTTTCAAATTCGAAAGTTTTAATTCTCTCATTATAGTTTTCAATTTTTAACAATATTCTAGCTTCACTAGCACAAATAGCCGATTTAAGTTCTTGGACTATTTCACTTAGATCTTTGTTGCTCATGATTTAGCTTTTATATTGGCAACGATGCAGGAAATAATTGCGATCAATTAAATATTCGGTAGGTGATCACTTAGAAAAAGCAATGACCACTTGACATAGTAATTAGTATTAGGATCAGTTGTAGAAATGTCTTTAATAAATTACAAATTAATATTATCCAATTTCTACATTCAAAAATTTAGTTGAATATATCTTTGAGGAAACATTTTTTCAAATCACTGTTTGTATTCAACTTAATGATGGGCTTTCAATAAAAATTCAAATTTGAATTATATGATGCGTGATGAAAATTGGTTTGAATGTGAACTTTATATATTTAGACATGCACATTGTGGAACTTTATTCAGGCATTTGAATATCTAACAACAATGTATTATTTATCGTAGAATTGTAAAGTTATACCTTGTTAAATGTATGAATATATTATGAATTTACTTTTCTAATAATTTGATTGGTGTTATCTACGTGCAATTTCTCGAAATTGGGTTAAAACTAAATATTTTAGATTTATAGTAGGATATAAATCAAATCACGTTTTCAAATTATATAGATTTGATAAAAATAGGTGTGTAATTTCCTTTTGTAAAGAAATTACATAAATTTTTAGAATTATAATTATTGATTATTGAGTTAGGTACTCTTTTCTCATAGTTTTTAAATTATTTTACATTAGATAAAATCTTTTTGTATGGACTCGATGACAGATAGCAATAATTATGATTTTAGTAAATTAACTTTTCTTAAATAACTATTGACTTATTTGGTAGTTTGGATTATCAGAGATGCAATATCAATAACTGATTAAATTTTTATATAATTGAAATAAAAATTGTTTATATTTCATCTAACTCTAAAATAAATAAAGTCTGAGTATGTACATTGTGCCTAGGAATAAACAAAACTATTATTAAACGAATTTAACATATTTTGAAAACTTTCCATAACGTTTTATTATAATTATTGTGCTAAATAATTATGACTATCAAATAATAAATTTATCAGTGATTACAAATAGATGTGAGAAGGTTTTTGTTTGGAAAAAACAAAAATTTTCTAAGAAAAAAAGTAATAAATAATGTTTGAATGGAAAACTTTTCAAAAATAAAATTATTAACTGTTTTTGCTGCATTTTACATGATCAAAATAGTCTTACTTGATGTATAGTCTTTCTAGCTAGACACAATCCAACATGGAATAACCGATTAGTACCGACTTCAAAGGGACCGCGCACATGGGCGTACCAATTTTATTATTAAAATTAAATTAATAATTGTGTATAGTTCTTTCATTAAACTCGTTCCGAACTTTTGCCGACAATTTTGTTTGATCTGTCACAGGCGTAGATACCTCATTTTATAAATTTAATATTTTTATAAATACGAGAAAGTATTCGTTAAAAGGCGATCGAATGATTATAAATTGGACGTTATTTAGAGAGATGCACTTAATTGTAGTCCTACTTGAAACTTAAAAAAAATCAATATTATAGCTCGTTAACTTGCTACAAAGAATATTAAATTATAAAACGTAAATAGACGAGTAAAATGTACCTGCCTGTAAGGGCGTTTGGTTCAAACAGGGTACCAGACGTGAACTGGTCCCTTTTTGTACCTCATTCGTTTTTTTTTTCCGGAAAACGAAATTTCAAAGCAAAAACCATAGAGGAAAATAAATTCTTTGCAAATAAAACAAAACTATAAAATAATTTAGAAAAATTAATTTTTTAAAAGAAATAAATGAATACGAACTAATAAAATGTTAACAATGAATTAATCTGATGACTCTCGGATTACGAATAATGACAAATAAGAAAGTTAATTCGAATCTAAATCTGAACCATCTGTCGAGGAATCAAGGTTTGTATATATAACTACTGGAGCTATAGAAGGTAAAATATGATATTTTTTTCCTTTTTAGGACGTGACTAATGCAGTTTTTCTAAACGTCAGTCAAAGACGGGTCTTTAAAAACGCCATTAATATTTTCCAAATCACATTTGTTAAGGTAGGTGCAAAATTATTACGTCTTAGTTTTTGTTTAACTGAAGACCAAACTAATTCAATTGGATTAAGTACACAATATAATAATAACCTCAATACAGTATGACCATCTTCTTTTGCAAAATTATCAATATAATACTGTATTGGAATATTCTTACTTTTAAGAATTTGTAACTATTGTGGTTTTGTTTTTACGGAAGCAGGACTATCAATGTTATTATCTTTTGAATACTTTGATATATCTGATTTCTTAGAGTCACTACTTGGGCTTCTTGTGAATTTGCCGGGAATGATATGGCGCATTGTCCATTATAATGACTGAATTAGGTGGAATATTCGGTAAAAGTTGTTCAGCAAACCAGTTCTTAAAAACTGCTTCATTCATATCTTCATGATAATCCAGCAGAGCTTTATTGACATATTTTGCTGAAAGTAGCGAAGCGTTTGCTACAAAGCCATTTTCATTTCTGGCATGTAAAATTATGACTCTAGCATCTACATTTACCTCAAAAGGTCTCCAGAGAGCATTTCGTGTAACACAAACCAAAATTAACAGAAACTCCGAAAAATAAAAACAAGTGGGAAAATTTTTTAAACCGTGTACGCTACAAAACACAGATAAAACAACTAAAACAGCCAGGCGAGCCAGAATTCTGGCAGCTCACTTGAGGACTTAACATCAACTGTAGGTGCGTAGATGTTTAAAACTTAAGTGTTCCATATCAGAGGTTATACCAAGACGGTTCACGCTTATTTGCAATATGAGAGTACCTATAGAATTTGTAGCATTTGCATGGCATGTAACGCGAATTATTGGGCAATCCCGGTACAAACGATTGTATTGGATTGAGTTTAGAAACACCTATAATATGGTAGTAAAACATTAACAGCTTATAGTAAAGTGTTTAAGATGATACTCAAAGTGGTCTATATCGATCCCAAGGAGTCGACGATGACCTTACAAGGGGTTGTAGAATAGCTGTTAAAATTTAGTCATAATCAAGTCAAATGTTTTTCATAAACAAATAAATTATATTTTTTATCTAGGTAGCAGTTACTTAAAACTCAATTATCATGGCCAAAAACATGTTGGAGGTCAAACTTTTTTCAGGATGCCGTATCTAATGTGTCCTAGATCGACGTGTATGATGCACGCTTTGTTCAACCGCTAGAATGGGCTCTTGGTATATACATTCGATGACAGTTGTTCGTTGATTACATAATTCCATCTAATGCGCGATCTTGGGTCTGGCAGGTGTTGCCATTGATAGGAAAATTTCCCTATATCTAGGGAAAAATCTGCAAGCGGTAGGGAAAAGGAAAATTTTATATAATTTAGGGAATTTTAAAACTTCATTGATTTTGTTATTTATATTTGTAAAAAAATATATTAGGTATAATCACTTGATAAAATATTAGAAAACGGTTTACCCTTGGCAAAAATGTTATCTATCCTAAGTCTGATTCACTATTAGCCGCTCAGAATTTCAGACAGGTCAAATTTACTATAAACCTTTATTCTACATACTAAAAATTTGACAAAATATAGCAATTGTTTCAATTTTAAAATTGATATCGACGATAATTTATACAAAAAATTCGTATTGAGCTTCTGCGTCAATTTTTATGATTGTTTTTATAATAGTTTCTAATAATATATCTAGTAATCTTTTTTAAATTATTCAAGTTTATTTCCTTTATATTTTATCTTGTATTTGATGATTATAAAAATGAACCATAAGTAACTTGATTTTTATATGGATTAAAAGTATTATCAATAAATAAGAATATGTCTTTTTTTAACTTTTGGCTGTTGAATAATCCTTTTGTCTGCTATTCTCCTTATATCAATTAAAACACACATATTTCTGTGATTACATTTATTTTGCAGGATTAACTTTTTAAGAAAACATCATTAATACTCTTATATACGACAGGTGACATCTGACAAGACAATAGACAAGACAGCCAACAACCGTTAGTATTTAAGGGATTTTTTACAATAATTTTCAAGTATCTTTTTTATTCATTTCAAAATTAAAAGATTTGGGGAATATCTGGAGAATTTTTGAGCAATTATCTAAGGAAATAAAAATTTTAAACCTGGCAACACCCGCTATACATTTTATAACTCGAAGCGCAGTTTGATATGTAACGGTTTTTAAATTCAACACCCACTTCGCCGGCCGGCAGTTTCAACTTGCACTTCAGTTTAGTGAGTCAGTGACTGCAACTACTGCACCGGCCTTGAGCGACCACAATTTTCATTCTCATCTCGCGGTAAAGTGAGTTGTTCAGTAATAATAAAAACACAGTTAGCAGATAAGGGGTCCTATGATTGAACGTTTACGTTATCCGTAACGTACATGTTAGGCTCAGTTTTAACAGTAATTAGGCAAGTTTGTATGATGAAAAACGGTTTCCAACACATTACTGTTATTTTCCGCCTGTTATGTTCTAATTTAACAGTTTTCCATCATACAAATTTGTTTCGTTACTGTTAAAATTCGACCTAACATGTACGTTATGGATAACATAAACGTTCAATCATAGGACCCAAGATCAGGTAATGAAAATATTGGTCTTCTGTAATGGTATAAACATATAAACACGTTGTTTGCTGCAACCACTTATTTTAGTTTATTTTTGGTCTAGATATTATCAAAATTTATTGTTTCTAAAAAATATTTTATATCGTCGGCCTCATATAAAAAGGACACAAGTCAAAAAATGAATTGTTTACAGGAAATTAAAAAAAAAATTTTTTTTGAGAATATTTCTTATGTAGTGAATATTTAATGTTGCAGTTGCATTTTTGTTGACATCCTCTTAAGATAAATATAGCCTATTTTTTTTTCAAATTTGTGAAATTAAATGGACTTGTGCATTATTTATATTCTAGTCGCATAAATTGATGGACTTTCATAAAAATCAAAACAAGTTTTAGAAGATGAAAACCTTACATTATTATTTAGATAAAAACATACAAATTGTTGAAAA